AGCTATACAGAGCTATACAGCTATACAGGGCTATACAATGCTATACAGGGCTATACACAGCTATACAGAACTATACTCACCTATACAGGGCTATACACAGCTATACAGGGCTAAACACAGCTATACAGAGCTACACAAGGCTATACAGGGCTAAACACAATCAACACTGCCATACAGGGCTACACAGGGCTATACAGAGCTATACACAGCTATACACGGCTATACACGGCTATACACGGCTATACACAGCTATACAGAGCTGTTCACAGATAAACAGAGCTCTGCACAGCAATACAGGGCTATACATAGCTATACAGGGCTATACAATGCTATACAGGGCTATACAATGCTATACAGGGTTATGCACAGTTATAAAGGGCTATACATAGCTGTACAGGGCTATACACAGCTATACAGGGCTATACACTGCTATACAGAGCTACACAAGGCTATACAGGGCTAAACACAATCAACACTGCCATACAGGGCTACACAGGGCTATACAGAGCTATACACGGCTATACACAGCTATACACAGCTGTTCACAGATAAACAGAGCTCTGCACAGCTATACAGGGCTATACATAGCTATACAGGGCTATACACACAATACACAGCTAAACAGAGCTATACACACCTATACAGAGCTATACAGGGCTATGCACAGCCATGATACAGAGCCATACACTGCTTAACAGAGCTATACAGGGCTATGCACAGCCATGATACAGAGCCATACACTGCTTAACAGAGCTATACACAGCTATACAGAGATGTCTAAAAATGGATGGAAGAAATTTTGAGTTCTCGTTGTTATTCTATTGAACGTTTGTGATCGAAATCGTTTTTCAATTGCTGTAACGATTCAATTTACATCAGATTTATTTGTTCCTGAAAGGCGAAGGATTAGGCACATCAAAAATGAAATTAAGGATCAGTTTGTCACCTAATAAGTATAAAATTGCTGTAAAATGGATTTTCTTAATTTGCTTTTAAATTCTTACTCCGAAATAGGCCATAGATACCACTTAAGTGCTCAAGCGATCGTGGAAAACCTGCAGAGCTAAATGAAAAATGTTATCCACTACTAAGAAGGATAAGAAAATTCAGACTAATGTTACTTGGATTTTGCGAAAGGGTCGAGCTCAAAGGGTAGTTTTGGATGAGCTTTATGAACGATCTCCCGGGTGAAAATATATACCATCACCGCCAGAGACAACAGGCTCCTTGGGCTCCTAAAGCGGACATGTCCATTACTAACTGACGTGTCTACCCGGCGCGCGCCATACTTATCGCTAGTCAAGTCACAACTCTGCTGCGCTACTCAAGTCTGGTCGCCCGCTCAGGTTTCCCTGAAGGCACAAGTCGAGCGAGTGCAGCGGCGCGCTACCAAATGGATCTTACAAACCCGGATTGGCGAGATGTCTTGCAGAGACAGACTTATTACCCTGGACTTACTCCCTCTTACCTACGACAGGGAACTGAAAGACTTGATATTCTTTTATAAGTGCTTATTTAATCATATTCACCTTGATGTATGCGTTTCCTTCAATTTCTGCCATTTGGATTAACAACTTTTTTAAAAACTTTATTTGGTTTATAACATAGTACTAACTACACCTCTAGCTTGTAGCACGAGCAAGTTCTAACTAGTGTCTACGTGCAGGGCTAGTCAATGTCAAAGGACGTTCTCAGGCAGTCAAAAAGTGTTTGTTTGACGAAAGGCTGGAAGGAGAGCGGACCCGAAAAACTAGAAGAAGGAGCAATAGAACAAGAGTAATTCCAAAGTTTCACAATGCGATTAAAGTAGGAGGCCTGAAAGGGGTTCGTTTCACAGATTGGTGTTTTTAAATTAAAGGAGTTGCTCAGTCTACTACGGCCGTGAGAAATAAAGTTTGTGAAACTGTTCTTTCGAATTTCACAAATTGCCTTTATCACATGTTTATTTCTTTGATAACACACTTTTACAAGGAGTGAAAGAGAGAATGCCGTCAATGAGGGAATGCAGAACTATCATTGGTATACGAGTAATTAAAAAAACTATTGTGGTCAGTTAAACATGTATAACAAGTTAAACATGTATAACAAGTTATACTTATTCTGCAGCAATCCAATATGAACGAGTTTGCATACGATTAGTTACACCTTTTCCAACATAAACATGAAATGCGCACCGTGAATCTTTTGTTATAATAACAAGATACAAAAGAACAAAAATAGTCGTACAAAATCTAGGTAATCACTCAGTTTTGACACAAAGCTGTATCTACTTAGTAATTTCTCTGTGGCCTAATACAGTGTGAATTAGAAATCATGAATCACTAGTCATCTTTTCTCGCGTTTTTCATCCATTAAAGAGAAAGCTCAAAAGTCTGATTGGACATGAGATCTAACGGGTAACTTTTTTAACTTTTTGAAGAACATTCTTTTACCAAAGAGACGACCTAGAAAAGAGGTCACTTACAAGGTAAAGACCTTTAGTAGTTAAAACATTCATGTAAATATGGAAATGGTAGTTAATCATGGCTAAGAGGGTGCTGGTGTTTATTAAAAAAAAAAAAAAAGGTACAGAGAAAACTTTGCACGTTTATGAAAACTTACCCTAATTCCCGATTTATGTGCTGTATACCCCAGTTTTATCTGATGATTGCTTAGTCTTGGTTCACTCGTGGGTGGTGCGTAACGCTTGGAAGTTCTTTTTTTTGTTATGGTATATGGTGTTAAGATAAACAGCGTAACTATAAACCGATTGGAAAACCTTAAATGTGTTTCTGGTAACATAACTTGGGATGAAATATGATTTAAAATCCGAGAAGTATCAAAGGAAATCCCTGACATCCTACTCCAATTTGAATGCCGGCCCCCTCCTAGCCATGATTAACGAATAGTGACAACCCAAATGATGTGTGGAAGTGTGAGTTCTTTAACTGACATCAAACCCTTTCCAATCGGGGATCTTACTATTAACAAGTCCTTTCGAGATTTTATAGAGATAACTCTCTATTAAATAAAAGTAATGAGCTCTGATCTTACACGAGCCTTACCAATCTCCCTGCTAAAGGTTCTTTGAAAAACAATTTTCAAGCTTTGGTACGTCGTAAAAAAAGAGCACTCCATGAATGGATCAATGAATGCATGAATTCTAAGTATTTTAGCATGTTAATGAATTATTCTAAACGATGACGCCCATGTGTTTCTAACAGCTGCCCTGTCATTCTTTTCAACTTGCAGTGAACCCGCGGTATGATGGAGGGTGAACGGCGAAACATGCTAAGAAACCGACAGCGTGGAAATTTTGGTTGTTTTGTGATAGGAGTTATGATCATTTCTAAATAAAATGAAGACAGTTGATAAAAAGATGTTTTTACTTTTTTGATTCTCATTTCGATGATATAGACTCCGGATAATTTCCTGGGGGCTCGCAACGGTCTGTTGATTAAAAAAATCTGTTCTGAAGGCCTCGGAAAAGCCCAGACTTCGGAATGGGTAAAGTGTCTAGTCTCCAACATTTCGTGTTGTGAAGAGGCAGATACATGAAGGCTCTCATGAGCAATTTAGACTCGCAAGATAACGTAGAAAGGTACACGTACTTCGTTTTCGCTCTTGAATTTGTCTAACTGTTAACATATTTGCACTTTTTTCCCCTTGCTAACCAATATTACAGATTCCACAAAATATAATTGATACCTCCGATTCACGGATGGCCGATTACGATGACCAAACAGGTGACAACAAAGGGAAACCTGAACGAAATCTGTCAAAAGGAGGATGTTTAAACACCGGTTAATGATGTTATGAATATAAACTATCTTCGCACGAAAAAAGGCAATGTGAGGAGAAACACCTGCTCCTAGATAAAGTTTTTCAGGTCAATCATTAAGGTATTTGGAAAACTCAATGAAAGCAATTACGCCAAAACCTACTGAAAAATTTCGGAATTTCTGATGAATTAAATTTAATGCAATTTCGTTCAGAGTTTACGCTATCGCTTAGGGTCGCTATTTCTTACATGGTAGTTTCAGACAACTTTCTCTCAAACGATGAATTCTTTTCTTGAGTAGTTAATTCATGTGCCATCATAGAATTGAAAATTTCATCGATAAAGTGAAATAGTCGATCAAATTCGAATACGGCTGTTACATATCAACACACGGCCACCATATTGGATCTAAAGCAACACACGTGTTTTATTAATGCTGTACCTACAAGTGGTCAGCGGCATACACAACATCCTCCTCCCCTCTCTCGCTTGATAATATCATCAACAACGACAAAAAAAAAGCACCCAAACAAGAAAAACAACTACAACGAAAAAAAAATATATAAGAACTGAACGGAAACAGAAAGTGTTGATACAATTGACAGCGTCTGTCATTGCTACGTGTTCAACGCCTGTCCAACTCCATGAAAATTAATTGTAGGTCTCGTTTCACTGACTTCTTGACTTGTCCGCCGCTCCAAGTTGTGTACAGGATCGAGCCCCTAGTCGCTGTTACTTCAGGTGAAGGCGGTGTTTTTCTTGCTAGGCTTTCCCTTGTGACTGACTGGTCTGGCTGGTAATCTAGTGGTGGATTCTCTATACGTGTGTCTGGCATAGGTGGTGGCACTGCATGCAGCACTACGTGTGGTTTCTTAGGACCTGTCTCTGCCTCCTCGATGTTTGCATGACAGCTCTGATACCCTGCATGTGACTTTGGGGAGTCTGTTCTTAGTGCCACTCTTTTTCGTTATATTCTTCGGCCCCCCACATCGAGTATGTAAGATCTGGGCGATGCATGTTGTTGCACTACTTTCGCTGCTTTCCATTCCTTTGACCCCGTTTCGGGTTTCATTCTTACAAAATCACCAGGTCAAAGCGGGGGTAACTCTTTAGTACCTCGGCGATCATGGTAGTACTTCAGCTTGTCTTTGCCATACTTCATTCTCGCTCTTATCTCTTTGATGTTGTGAGCCTCTAGTTCTAGTAGACCACAAGCTATTGGTAGTGTTATCCCTTGCCTTCATTCCATGGAGAGTTGAGACTGAGACGGGTTGATCCCTTGGATTGGGGTGGCTCTGTACTCTCGAAGTCCTTTGTTCTTGTCTCTGTTTTTCCTCCATGTTGATTCTGCTGTTTTTACCGCTGCTTCTGCTTCTCCATTTTCAAGAGTATAATTGGGACTCACTAGGACATGTTTAAAGTTATAGTTTTTGGCAAAAGTCTCAAATTCTTTGCTTGTGTATTGGACACCACAGTCAGTCACCAGTTTTGCCCGAATACCATGTCGACTGAAAAGTTCATTCAGTGCTTCAATAGTATCCTGGGAGGTAAGGTCATTGTGTTTAGTTACTCCAACGAACTTGGAGTAATAATCAACCAGTACCAGGTAATGTTGACCTTCAGAGGCGAAGATATCTGAAGCAGTCATTGCCCATGGCAGATTGGAGACAGGACTTGGTATCAGAGGCTGTTTCTGCTCTACTGGCGCGTAGCTGTGACACATATTGCAGTCTTTTACTTTGCCTTCTATTTGAGCGCTCATCCCAGGCCAATAAAGCGCTTCCCTGGCCTTTGGTTGCCCTTCACAATTCCAAGGTGTGATCCGTGTATAAAGGCTAGCATGGCTGGCCTCACGGACGGGGGTACCACAATCTTCATCTCTCTGTAGGTTTCACCATCTAAAACTGCAAGTTCATAACGTGACTCCCAGTATTCTCGGATGCTGTGTGAGACCTGTTGTTTTGTTTCTGGCCACCCCGCTCGTATCATAGCGTACAGCCCATGGAGTTTGTTTGCAGTTTTTTGTTGGAGTTCTCCATACTTTGGCTCTGAAATGGAGATTCTCTCCAGCATGTATACTTGTATCTTATCTTCGTCCGCTTGTAGTTCATTCAGACTTGCTCAGCTAAGAGTGTCAGCGAGAACTTCCTTCTTACCAGGAGGATACTCCTCTTTTAGGTCATAGCCGCTCACTTTCAGCATCATTGCTTGTAATCTTAACGGTGCTGTTGCCACTGGTTTGCGGAGAATGATCTCTAGGGGCTTATGCTTCAACCATCTGTATCGGCCTACTGGAGTGTGCATGATTGTTAGTAGGCTGGACTCGTAGTCAAGTTTCACGTTTGGAGATACCCACTCTTAGCGAAAAGAACTGTGAACACTTTGGCGTCAGGTATTTTGGCTGAAATTTCTACAACTGTAGGTATTGGATAATGTTCCCGCTCAACGACTTTGTTCAGGTCTAAACAGATCCTGATCCTAATCTTGTCACCTCGACTTGAAACTACCATACAATTGACCCAATCAGTGGGCTGCGTGATTTTGGTTAGATGCCCTTCCTTCTCGATTTCTTTGAGCTTGGACACGATCTTAGGAAGGAGTGAAGCGAATTGTCCGCGAGGACCATGTACTACTGGTGTTGCTGTAGGGTCAATTTTGATTGAGTAGGTTCCTGGCATAGCTCCATATGCAGATCTGGGTGTTGATCCAACAACTCCTCAAGGTTCACATCTATTTTACGCACTCGCTGGACCAATTCGAGGGCTTGTCAGACTTTGCCTGGCAGTAATGGTTTCTGCTTGCTATCTATTACATAGAAGTTTACATTCAACTCCTTTTCTAAATCGCACTGGAAGGGTGACGTGACCCTTTGGTTTGATCTGGTGTTGGCTATAGGAAACCTGGAATATCACTGGAATATTCGCCTACCGAAAAGTCATCGTTACAAATAAAGCCATTTCTTCGTTTGTACCCTTTGTGCCCTGGTACCCTTAAAGAGAGAAATGCCTTGCAGTTAATAAAGACGTAGTAGTCTCTTGTGTCTCCTTCTTAATACACCTTATGATTTTTTCTATATTAATTTACATACAGCAAATAAGCTATGCAGTAAAAGTTCTGTATAGAAAACGCTTGCTGCATGGCAACTCCCCGGGCATTTTATTTTTTAAGATTGGTTTGTTGAAATTCCCACCCCTCGGTGCCAAAATTCAATTGTCCCATCTGAAATACTGGAGTTGACAGTCAATTTTTTTGTAAAAAAGGCAAAAGCAACGACGAACGATCTTCCGCGTGAAAGTGAACTCTTCAGTTACCTTTAAACACCTGCATATTTAAGATTAAAACCCCTTGTATTCTCACTGGAAAGACTTGACACTTCCGATTCAAATTTCTCACCCCAGCCAAGCAAGATTCAAATTCCCCATTCACCGGGCAAGGACGACAGTCAAATGCCCAGGAGTTTTCCGGGATCGAGATGTTGAATCTTTGAATTGATCGGCACATTAGAAACTCTTTACAGTGGTCAATATACCACCGACGACGTACCGCAGTTTCTCTAAAAACTTACTTCCTTTATTCATTTGCCTCTAATGACTTCTAAACTGGAGCTCCATCAAAACTTGAACTTTTTAGACTGGTTAAAAAACAAAGTTTAACCCTTACTTATCCAAACCGCGCTCTGAAAATTCTTTTGTCAAGAAAAAGATATACAGCCTAAACGTTAAGTTTTTGTGAAACTGTCAAAATGGTTTTTATTTACCATGCACTAAAAGAAACATCTAATTACTTCCGAAGTCCATTGATTGTCAAAAACTGCAGCCCAAACTAGGCCTCTTTTCAATAACCGACCCTCTCAGTTTATTTTATTTATAATTATAAATACTCTCATTGCACTCAACCTGTGAACACTAATTTATCGCTTGAAATAGTTAGAATGCTTCGGTTTCTGCATGTTCCATGCGTATGTAGTCAGATCAATTAATGGAAAAACTGAGCTAGGATTTATGCGATGCTCGAACAAGCAAAGTAAGAAGTCCCAAATTAAAGCTTTTTGAATGCTGTAATAGATCGAATTCAGTTTTAACTTTATTTGATTAAAAATGGTGATAAAGCAAATAGGCAACCGTCGGTATACACCAAGAATCTTGCAAAATAAAACAATTGAAAATAAGCGAACAATTAACAAATGATAAGATGAATAAATGAACAATTAGAAGTGAATAACTGAATAAGAAAATAAGTGATAACTAAATAAATACATAGGTAAACAAAACGTAACAGCAGAATCAAAGCTTTATTTTTATGGCCTAGCGTCATATCACTTGGCAAGATGTGTGTCGTGTCTCTAGGTTGCCAGAGACAGTTCGAAGTGGCAAAAAACGAAAAAGCTGGGTACTCTCCTTCCGCCTTATTCCCCTCAATTTATCTTCTTGTTTCTCAGTTATTTGCCCCGTTCCTTCCTAGTGGTCCTACGGGGGCTGTTATAGGTGTCCAGGCCTCGAATTCCGTTAAAACGACGTCGACATAGGCCGAGATGGCGGTCGACGCGTAGCTTTGACAGCTGACTGATTGAACCGTCAGTCGAGTTTCGACGTATGACTGCCAACTATATACGGTTGACTGCCTCACTGCCATATTCACCGAGGAGGTGAGAGAGGCTTTTTACGTGAGGTTATCTGAAAAAAATCTGTGCAAATTGAAAACAAAGCTTTAAAAACTCATGTTGTTGGAAATGCAGTAACTACTCTTCGGTCCGACTTGTCGTAGATCACGATCACAAAAAAGCATAGTTCTCCATTCCTTCCTTGTACACCAACTGGCGAAGAAAATTTCTTTCTGAAAACAATCCTGTTCTCATCAGATCTATGTGGCGTTACCACATCTGGGTTAAGAAAGGCTTCTTCAACCATTTTCCAAACAGTAGTGTCGCAAGCCGCAAAGAAACAGCTTTTCCCCTGCTCTCTTGGGTACATGTGATTTGCTCTGATATGTTCCTTCACATTATCGTTGAGAGTACATGAGATATCATGCATCCAACTCCTAGTTGATGATGTCATTTCGCTACAACGTTCCTTAAAACTCTCAATATGTTGGTTCTTTGGACTGATCACATGTTTCTACAGTTAAATTCTGTGCAAACTACTTCAGACTCCCGAAAGTTACCGCTTTGAATCTCAACCGGCCAAAGAGTTTGGAATATTGTCAACATCTGACACTGTTTGTAACAAAGAAACGTGGACAATCAATATCAATATATCTTATTGTCTCTCTACCCTGCCTATTACGTATGTATTACGGCCGATTAACTCTCAGACAACTGAATGGTCAAAAACGCAAAAAAGGCCATTTGATATTTTCCGAGATCTCAGAGTGTCTGTTTGCTCACTCAATTAGTATTAACCCTTCGGCCGTTGGCTTGTCAAGCGTAGCTATCTACGTTTGCAGCAAGCGTAGACAGCTACGCTTGACGGAAGGACTAGAGCATTCTTTTTTCTGTGACAGTGATCTTAAATGCACCTGACATTGTGTTAAAATTGTAAGGAGAATAGCACACCGCTCACTCTGAGGAGTAAAGTGTTAATGCGGAAGATCACTAGGTTGGTAATCGAGCCCAAAAAATTTCGATGACTTATCACACATGGAATTGAGTGTTCGTTATGGGCATGTACGGGGAAAGTATCCATTCATTTTATTCAAGAAGATCCAGTAAAATTATTAAGATTTATTGACCCTTCTTGCTGGTCAATCGTACTTACGACATAAAATATATTTCCACCTCCGCTCGGCGGAATATTATAACATTATAAAATATCTTCTTCATTTCTGGTCTGGCGAGAATCAATTAGGGTGTTGTATTAAGAAATTAGCACCTGGTATTTTAAAAATACATCAAATTGGAAATAAAACCATATAAACACGCCTCTAATGCCCTATTCTTCATTCGGGTCTCGAAAATATTCACTGATAAGATGAGCAGAGTCATTCTCGGGGGCTGGGAGCCAGTTATTGGCTATATACTAAGAAGTATATATTATTGGCTATATACTAAGAAGTATATATTCGATCTTAAGAGCCGCCGGGCATCCTTCAGTTAAGACGCCTCAGCGAGCCTGATGATTTGTTTACTTCTATTTCTATCTGTCAAAACTATGTGTCACGGCATTTTAAAATAAACTGCTTCTAATTGGTTACGTCTTTGACCTTTAATTTTCCTTCGATTCCGTTGGCTGGCCACGTTTAGGTTAATTCAAGAGTCCACTTGTTATGCTAAAAAAAAAAAAGGTACTGAATCCGCCGGGTGTCTGTAACCTGACGCAGAAAAATTTTGGAGAGTTTTAGGGAACGTTGTAGCGAAATGGCATCATCAACTAAGAGTTGGATGTATGATATCACATGTACAATCAACGATAATGTGAAGAAACATATTAGAGCGAATCACATGTGCCCAAGAGAGCAGGAGAAAAGCTGTTTCCTTTCGACTTGCGACGCCACTGTTTGGAAAACGGTTGAAGAAACCTTTCTTAACCCAGATGTTGAAACGCCTCATAGATCTGATGAGAACAGGATTGTTTTGCGGAAGAAATTTTTAGCGCCAGTTGGTGTACATGGAAGGAATGGAACTCTATGTTTTTCTGTGACCGTGATCTACGACAAGTGGAACCGAAGAATAGTTACTGCATTTCCAACAACATGAATTTTCATTGCTTTGTTTTAAATCTGCGCACATTTCTTTTTAAGGGGAAAAATTCAAGGATTTGAGTTAATCAACAATCATATAATGTTTCATTTTTGCACGTAAATACTGAAATGAGAGCAAAGACTTTGCGTCTTGTTCAGAGGTTTGTGGATGCTCCGGCGACAAGGAGAGGGAATGGACAGGCCTCTGAATCACTTTTCAGCGTGAGCAATTAATAAATTTGTTTAGAACTAAATTTGCTCGGTAATAACTTACTGTTGTTGAACATTCAAAACGATGTGGCGCACGTTTGTCCTTATGAAACTATTTTTAAAAAGATTATGTAAATTAGTTCAGATTATTCTGTCTCATTTAAACATGGTGATTTTTTTAATCGTTCTCTGCTGGAATCATTGGATCAATATCAATATCTGGGAAACTGCCCACCTACCCCTCCCTTAACCCAACATTAACCCTGAGTTGCTAGCAATTGACTGTTGCTGAGTTAGGGGAGAGGTAGGAGGGCAGTTACCCAGATACTGATATTTATCTTGATCCAAAACATTCAGCAGTGGAAAACACTTCCTGAAAAGAAAGCGGATGAACTAGATCGAAGCATTTTTCGAGGTAAACTTAAAAAGTTTATAGAGATTTGGCCAATTCTTAATATTTCTTTAATTTACTTCGTTTTTGGAGGTCGTTGGCAAGTAGCTTTTCGTGCTGAAGCTGAGGGTATTTCTATCTCTAGCTTATCACGGTATCTCAAAATAAACTGCTACCACTGTATGGTTACTGCTTTGCCCTTCGATTTCATTGGTTGGCCACGTTTGGCGTTGACTAAATTTGTGTAGGATGTTACAAATACGCTAAAGTTTGCGGCGGAACTTATGGCTCGAGTATGATGTTTCGTCCGGGAGTTTGAAGCACAGAATTTAACAGTGCAAACTTGTGATCAGACGGAAAAATAAACATATTGAGAGTTTTAGGGAACGTTGTAGCGAATGACATCATCAACGAGGAGTTGGATTCATGATATCACATTTACGCACAATAATGTGAAGGAACATATCATAGCAAATCGTAGGTACCCAAGAAAGCAGGGAAAAAGCTGTTTCCTTTCGACTTGCGACACTACTGTTTGGAAAATGGTTGAAGAAACCTTTTTTAACCCAGATGTGGAAACACCTCATAGGTCTGATGAGAACAGGATTATTTTGCGAAAGAAATTTTTATCGCCAGTTGGTGTACATGTAAGGAATTAATGGAACATTAGGTTTTATTGTGACCGTGACTTGGCTATGTACTGGATGCCTTTCTACACGATGCATCCCCTATGTAATGATCTATCGTCTCTGTGGTTCATCCAGCCGGTTTTTTCATCCAGTTCATAGTTATACCACATGATAGCTTTTCCTTTCTTGGCTGGTACAACGATATTAGCTGTTTGACAATATTCATTTAAATTGAAGCGATCGCCATCTTTGCGGTCCCTAAATTCCTAGGAGATAAAAGCACTTTTATTTATTTTAGTTCTTTTTCACCGGCTGGGAAAGATTTCCTTAGTCATTTTGGCCACTTAACAACTAAATTCCATGTCATCGTGCGCACGAACCGTAAGCGAGTATGGCGATGTTGTCAATAATGATCTCATCTATTCATTACATTTCCATCCCTCCTTTTATTGCTATAATTATGCGATTTCCGCTTTTAAGCTCGGCTAAATCTATATTATTTTTTTGGTGTGTGGGTGCGTGCGTGCGTGTGCAAGTAGCTATAGAGTAAGTATTTGTACACCAGTTGATGTTAGTAACGAATCAAAACAGGCTGCACTCACTGTTTCATCGAAATTTTTCATATCTGCGACAAGAAAAGCTGTTTAACCTCCTTCTTCCACGTCATTTAGATAGCAAAGAATAATGATGTACCTGTACAGTTAAGAAAACATGTTATCATTCAAGCACATCAAACTACGTATGTGATAACTTTACAAGGCACGACGAAGTAACATCGCGTACAGCTTATCCCAAATCAGTAACCTGAACACACAGGCATCACGTAGTAGAATTGGACTTGAATGGCAGGAAGCAAAATGCCTGGTTGAAAAACAGCGATTACTGTGGTGATCAGCCTCCACTGACCATATTTTTTATACAGTTGCGAGCATGACATGATAACTGTCCTTCTAGTACTCAAATTGAGCAAGAGATAATTTAGAAGGATTTTTCATAGGTTCATTTTTCTGTCAAATGTCACTAAAGATCTTGTAGTACAGATGTTTCTTTTTTTTCAAGTTTTTTCAACTGGTTTAGAAGTTACCTTGTGCCATTTCCTTTGATTTAAATTTTATAAATTAAATACATGTGCATATTCAGGAGGATAACGACCAAATTTAAAACAAAGTGTTGAAAAAAGTGCTCCAAGAAAAACAGCCCCATACTCATTACCAATTTAAAGCTTTAATGTACTTGTCAAACAAGTACAAGAAGTGACCAGTCTCTTTTTTAAGACAGCATGCAAAGATTTTCTTATATTACGTTTAATAAAGGTCTTGACAAGTTCGTTGTTGCAAAAGTTTGATGTTTCAGCTGAGGACGTTCCTCAAAAAAAAGTATTTTTCTTCTGAGTAACCTGAAGATAAGTCAGAACATAAATTTTAAGACCTCTCCATCAATTCAAGCCTACCTTTCTGTAATGCACAAGTGCACAGAATCTCCATGACAGTCCAAATAAGACATTTCACCTCTGCATGTACCATACTCCAAAATTCCTTGGTCTTGATGTGTAACAAGAATAGGTATTTCTTTGCAAAAAAATTGGGTTTACCAAATAAAACATCTCACTAACAAGGAAATAACTTCTTAAAACCATACATATATATTCTTGTGCCATGTTCTGTATTTTTTTACTTGATTAAGGAGTTTTGCAAAACAGTTTGAAAACTTATTTATTGCTTGATGTTTGTCAGACAGCAACACCCATGTATTCACACAAAAGATTCTACATGTACATATATCTGCTACAACCAAGAGTCTGAACAATAATTCCCTGTCAATTTTGGGTGAGGCACCACTGCTTTGCAAGCTTCACCAATTTTTCCTATGTCTAATATAATATGATCTTTAAAACTAGAAAATTCAGAAAATGCCTCAACATTTACACATGGTTAACCTTTTAACAAAGGAAAATGAAAATATCTTTATAAGTTCTTAGGTCTACATACCTTATCAATAGTTTCTTCATCTTCTGCCTTGTTGTCTAAATGATCTAAATGTTGTATGGAATTGTCTACCAAAAATGATAAATCTCTTTCTCTGATCAGCAATGCCACAGCTGTGGAGTGTAGCACATGTAAATCAGTACCATGACTGAGGTATTAACCTTTATACTGTAACATTAATATTCTTATTCTCCACACTTTCCTCTTTACAATAACTATGGCACTGACAAGGAGAATTTTTTTTAACATTTGGGAGCTTTATAAATTGGTGATTATTTCCTATAATCTCATGACCTTTACATTTGATACAAGGGTGATATTGCAAGAGAAATTAGAAGCCAGTCACCCTCAGGGGTTAAAGGCTTCACTTACCTACATAAACAACAATAATAAGTTACAAAATACAGTAAAACCCCACTAGCTCACACTCAGTTCAGTCAAACTTCCTGGTAACTTGCTCAAGATCTGATTTCTCTTAACCTAATTTTTTCAGTCATTTACTACCCGCTAACTTGAACACCTGTTAAATTGCACATTTTGTTTTCCTTAGGAGTTCGAAAAATGAGAGGTTCTTCTATACATACAGTACATGTACATAATTTGTGACAGTAGCTTAAAATAACCAAAAATTGCATTTTTAGCAGTAAAAGTTTATTCAACAAAAAACCCAAAATATGCAAAAGATGAAAAAATTGAGCTAGTTGCTTAAAGGGCAGATTGGCAAGAAATTTCAATCACAAAAAAATTAAAACAATTATGCTGTAGCTGCATTATACAATTTAAAAATTAATTTTAGATTGAATCAAATTGAATCTAGTTTCTTTTCCCTCTGTTCCACTGACTTGTGCATATACCTCATTGATTTTGAGCCCTACAAATCAAAACTAACCATATTTTAACATTAACTTCAAACCACATGGGCAAAATACATCAAGATGTTGCAGCTTAAAATTTACTTCTAATCAAAGTATTTATATTATATATTTTTTTACACATACTAACCATTCTAACCCTGTTTTAATTTTAAAAAAAAATTTTGAAAAACATGATCAAATTTAGATTTAATGATAAATAGACATTCAAAAGTGCATAATTATAGCACTATAATTATAGTAATATGAATTTTCTGTATGATCATGAATGTGTTTTTGAATGAAGTAAAATTCTTGATTTTAGGCCAACTAACTCTAAGTCTTTCAGTTACTCATATGCATTGATGAAACACTGGTAACAAGCATATATACCAGCAACCCAGTACTTAAAAGTGATTCTACTTATTCTGTTGAAAATTACATTGTCTCTTCATCTATTTTGTCAGCACTCTTTGGAGAATGAAAAAATTATGTATGATGTTTCTTTAAAACCTTTAAAAAATCTGAGGGATTTAGACAAGATACTTAACCTTTTAACTCCCATAATGACCAAGATAGAATTTCTCCTTGCAATATTATTCAATATCAAGCAGAAAAGTCATGAGAATACAGAACAATGCCAATTAAAGGATTACTAATTTATCCAAGATCGATTTCTCCTAGTTAACACCCTAAGAATTGTATGACAGATAGTTGAGAGAATTACTAATGAAAGCTTACTCTCCCTTCCCTCTTTCCAAAAATAAACTGTCATCATTGGGTAAAGCAGCAATTAATTGTAACACTTACCTGCTTCTTTAACTCTCTTGTCTTCATTATTTTTGTCTTGAAGGCTTCGTGAGTTATTATTCTAGCAAAAGAAAACAACAAGAAAACAGGCTGTAGTCCTTTAATCAAAAAACTAATCACACAGAGAGTATATAATGAGCATCATCTATTTGTGGGAGTATTATCATAAACATTGTGAATACTTTTCATCATTATTTCAATTCAATCACTGCACATGTTGTGGCTAGCGAGACACGCGAGAAAACAAAATTAAAGCGAAACCACTCGATGTTAATTGGTCTAACGCTGATCGACATGACCCTAATTATAAGACAGTACTTATGGTCGAAACTTCACTCGCCATTACAGTGATATACAATATGTTCCAACTTAAGGTATGATAAAAACAAGTTGTGGTTACAACAATATAGTACAGCAAACAATTCAGTCTTTCAAAAAATGACCAAGGCAGCAAATAAAACAACATACTGGTATTTCAGACACCATAACTTTGAACTCGAGAGCACAGCGAGTGTTCGCTGTTGAACCACAAATGGTTATTTAAAAAATGTAGTTACAAAACATAATTAAACAACAATAAGGAGCTTGCCATTCTTCGCTTACGAAATGTCAGCTGGAAAGAATGTTGAACAATCGTGTACGGTGTGAATACAGGCTCTTAATCAGCATTCGTTTTAGCTGAATTCACTGGTTATCTTCCCCTGATTTGACTAGTGGTATGTGGTATGTGCTCGTGGCCTCTTCGAAGCCGGTACGGGGCATAGGGCCGACAACATTGAATAGTAAAATCTCTTCGACGTCGACGATCGAAACGCGTCCATTTTGGCCATACAGCTACATCCTTTGGAAAGTAGTGTATAAAAATACCCGGTATATGTGCATTATTCTTGTAGCTAACATCATTTGGCGCTCCGGCCACGCATTACGTCCGTCTACATTTGTTTTTCTCCACCATTATTGCCGAAGCTGTTTTGACTTCACATCTGCCCACTTACCTATTCTTTCAGAATATAAAAATAAATTGCTACTGATTGGCTACTTATTTGACCTTTTAATGACGTTATCATCAACAAAGTTAAAGAAAGTGAATACACTATTGGGAACTTTGAAGACCGTCGTACCATCAGTGGCGTTTAACAGGGGAAACTTGTGATCAGACGTGTGAAAAAAAACATATTGAAAGTTCTAGGGAACGTTGTAGCGAAATGGCATCATCAACTAGGAGTTGGATGCATGATATCACATGTACGCTCAATAATGTGATGGAACATATCAGAACAAACCACATGTACCCAGGAAAGCAGGGGAAAAGCTGTTTCCTATCGACTTGCGAAACTACTGTTTGGAAAATGGTTGAAGAAACCTTTCTTAACCCAGATGTTACAACGCGTCATAGATCTGATGAGAACAGGATTGTTTTGCGAAAGAAATTTTCATGGCCAGTTGGTGTACATGGAAGGAATGGAGCACTATGTTTTTTTGTCACCGTGATCTACGACAAGTCAGACCGAAGAATAGTGACTGCATTTCCAACAGCATGAATTTTCATAGCTTTGTCTTAAATTTTCACAGATTCCCTTTAAAATACTTCATATCTGGCACTTAAAAGTGAAATGAGAGCAAAGACTTCGCGCCTTAATTTTATTCAGAGGTTTGTCCTTCCTGTAGAGGGAGCTGACAGGCTTGAACAATTAATAACTTTGTTTAGGAGTGCGCTTGATCCGTGATGACTTAACTGTTGTTGAATATTCAGGTTGAAAAACGATGTGGATCATGTTAATCTCATGTAAGTATATCAAACACGTCTTTAGAAAAAGAAAACTTCAATGTAAATTAAAGGGATTAATTAATTAATGCAAATTAAACCTAAACTTGGTGAAAACCTAGTTATGCAAATTAGACGGATGAGCTTGAGTAAACTGATTTCACTTTGTTAGAATCATTTCCAAGAAAGAAAGCAGATGGAGAGGATTGTAGCATTTTTCGAAGTAAACTTAGAAAATTTTGTAAAAATTTAACAAATTCTTAATACTTCTTAAATTTTAAATTTTATGATAATGTATAGTATAATTGAATCTTACCTAACCTCTGAAGTCGTTTAGTATCAATTACATAATAAGTCGGATGGTGCAAGGTTCACGCATCGCGAAAAGCGAAAAATTCACAGTTCACGGGGTTTTAATTTCGTATTTTCTCTAGTCAACCCACACCGCGTACAAACCCCTTTCACCCCCTCGTGGATAATGGCAACTAAGACAGTCAACCGTATGGTACTAATAGGCAGTCAAATGTCGATACTTGACTGAAACTGTTTCAGCCAGCTGTTAAAGCTGCATATCGACCGTCATGTCGACCTATGTCGACGTCAGTTTGCCGGAAGCCTAGACACCTATAACGGCCTCCTTAGGACCACTGGGAAGGAACGAGGCAGACAACTGGGAAACAAGAACATAACGTGAGGGAAAAAAAGCGGAGGACGAGTAGCCAGCTTTTTCGTTTTTTTGCCACTTCGAACTGTCTTTGGCAACCTAGAGACACGAGACGCTTTATCTAGCCAAATGTTGTGATGTTAATTGGGCGATTATGTTTTTATTTATTTCGTTATCAATTACTTTCTTAATCAGTTATTCACTTTTAACTATTTGTTTATTAATCTTTTCATTTGTTAATTGTTTGCCTATTTTTATTGTTTTATTTGGCAAGTTGCCAGATTCTTAGTGTAGACCGTCGGTGGCTCTCTTCCTTTATCACCAGTTTCAATCAAAGGAATCACCCACCATATTGAAACTGAGTTCGATCTATTTCGGCATTCAGAAAAACTTTAACTGGGGACGTCTTACTTCAAGTTAACTTATTAGAGCATCGCACAAATTCGAGCTCAATTTTTTTTCATGTAGAAACCGAAGCATTGTGACTACTTAAAGCGACGAATTGATGTTTACAGGTTGACTGCCATGAGAATTTTGGTAGTTAAATCAAACTGCAAGGGTCGGTTATTGAAACGAGGTCTAATTTGGGCCGCCGTTTTTGAAGATCAATGTTGGTTTTTTGAAGTAATGAGGTGTTTCTTTCAGCGTTAAATGTAAACCATTTCTGATAGTTTCACGAAAAACTTAACATTTAGCTTATATTTTCTCCCTTAAAATAAAGATTGTTTGGAGCGTGGTTAGGATAAACAGGGATTCAAATTTGTTTTTATAACCAGTCCAAAAAGTTCAAGTTTTGATGGAGCTCGAACTTATGTTCCCTGTATATTGGTTGGTGTGAAAGCAAATGAGTAAAGGGGGTAAGTTTTTAGAGAAATTGCGGTATGTCGTCGGTGGGTGTCGATTACGAGATAATTTGATTGAATCAACTGAGTTGTAAACTGACCACTGTAAAGAGTTTCTAATGCGCCGATCATTTCGAAGCTTCCACATCCCCTCCCCGGGTAACCCATGGGCATTTGACTGTCATCCTTGTCCGGTGAGTGGGGAATTTGAATCTTGCCTGGCTGAGTGGGAAATTTGAATCGGAAGTGTCAAGTCTTTCCAGTGAGAATACAATAGTTTTTATCTTAATTATGCAGGTGTTTAAAGGTAAAGAAGTCACTTTCACGCGGAAGATCGTTCGTCGCTGATTTCGCCTTTTACAAAAAAATTGACCGTCAACTCCGGCATTTCAGGTGGGACATTTGAACACAATTTTTGCACCGTGGGGCGGGAATTTCAACAAACCAATCTACAAAATCAAACGCGCGGGAGGTTCCTCGAGTGAGGATGCTGAAGCTTCGAAATGATGCACGATTGAAATTCGAAATGATTCACTAGCCCCTCATCATTCACTCTGGGATTACAATTTCCGTTAAATCTTGCGCATACACGAAAATTTTTGTGAATTAATTGAAAGGTCTATATGAATACACATCGTCGTCAGATGTCCATTTCCGATATACATGCAACAAAAGTTTTCTCTACAGAAATTGACTTATTTGCTATATATTGATCAACACAGAAAGAAATCATAAGGTGTATTAACAAGGAGACTCAATAGACTATTACGTCCTTATTAACTACAAGGCATTTCCGATGTCACATTTAAAGGTACAAGGTAAAGCCATTTTGATTAAATTGCAATTTGAATACAAAAGGGATGAAGAGATGGCTTTATTTGTAACGATGATGTGTAAAACCATTGAGGAGAACAATCACCTTTACCAAGGAATACAAGGACAAATTTGTTTCTTTTGGTGTGACTAGATATTCTTGTAGCAACATGGTTCGAGATACCTTAAGATCTTAAGATTTGATATAGACAGGTATATGCACGTTCTGCAAAAGAGATTTGTATCGCCAATAGGGACTCGTGGATAGATAAGAACGCTCTTATTTCTGCGACAGTGATCTTAAATGCGCCTGACATAGAGTTAACATTGTGAGGAGAATTTGCACACCGCTCACTCTGAGGAGTAAAGAGTTATCGCGGAACATCGCTAGGTTGATAACCAAGCCCAGTAAGCATGCGCAGTGGCCATGATTTATTTTACCTTGTTACGGGAAACCATCTGTGGTGACTTATCACAAATGGAATAAAGTTTCCGTTATGGGTTAGTATGGGGAAAGCGTCTATTCATTTTACTCAAGAAGATCCAGAAAAATTGTAAAGATATATTGACCCTTCTTGCTGGTCAATCGTACTCACGACATCTAATATTTTTCCACCTCCGCCGGGCAGAATATTATAACATTATAAAATGCCGATAATTTGGTCTGGCGAGAATCAATTAAGGTATTATGCTAAGAAATTTAAGAAATAAGCGCCTAGTATTTTAAAAATACATTAAATTGGAAATAAAATCAAATGAACACGCCTCTCATGTCTTATTCTTCATCCGGGTCTCGAAAATATTCACTGATAAGATGAGCAGAGTCATTCTCGGGGGCTGGGAGCCAGTTATTGGCTATGTACTTGATGCCTTTCTTCACGATGCATCCCCCATGTAATGATCTATCGTCTCTGTGGTTCATCCAGCCGGTTTTTCCATCCAGTTCATAGTTATACCACATGATAGCTTTTCCTTTCTTGGCAGGTACAACGATGTTAGCTGTTTGACAATATTCATTTAAATTGAAGCGATCGCCGTCTTTGCGGTCCCTAAATTCCTAGGAGATAAAAGCACTCTTATTTATTTTTTAGTCATTTTTCACCAGTTGGGAAAGATTTCCTCAATTATCATGGCCATTCAACGATTAAATTCCATGTTAGCGTGCGCACGAACCGTAAGCGAGTATGGCGATGTTGTCAATAATGTTCTCATCTATTAATTTCATTTGTTTTCTTCCTTTCATTTCTCTTTTTGTGTGAGTGTGCGTGTGTGTGTGTACAAGTAGCTATAGAGCAAGTATTTGTACATCAGTTCATGTTAATAAGGAATCATGACAAGCTTTACTCACTGTTTCATTAAAATTTTTCATATCTGCTACAGGAAAAGCTGTTTCACCTCCTTCTTCCACGTCATTTAGATAGTAAAGAATAGTGATGTACCTGTACAGTTAAAAAAACATGTTTTCATTCAAGCATATCAAATTATGTAAGTGATAACTTTACAAGGCATGACGAAGTAACATTGCGTACAACTTATCCCAAATCAGTAACACAGGCATCACGTATTGAAATTGAACTTGAATGGCGGGAAGCAAAATGCCTGGTTCAAAAACAGCGACTTCTGTGGTGATCAGCCTCCACTGTTTTCTTTTGACTCGAGTCTCTGATTGAATTGATTCCGTTCAAGTGTAACCATGATGTGACCTGAGGGCTGTTAAGTCATAGAAAAGCGGCCAGGCATTGCGTGTTGTTGAAATTGAAAGGCGACAGGCAAAACGCACAGTTAGAAAAAACGACTACTGTAGTGATCGGCCTCAACTGTTTTCTTCTAACATAAACCGCCGTATGAAGTGACACTTTTCAAGTGCAGCAATGTTGTGATGTAAAGGTTCTTACGTCAATGAAAAGCGGCCGAGCTACTGAGCAGCGTTTGTAATGGCGGCGTCCGAGGTCATCTTTTTAGTTTTTTGAAAAGTTAGGTTACTCTTTGGAATTTCCAAACACGGTCAATAACATAACTTTTCATATACTTTTTAATGACGGAGATGAAAATGATAAGTATCATTTCCGGTGCAAACTTCTCCTATAAATGACAAAAGAAACCACCTCAGCTGGCATTGAGGATGGTTTATATCCTCTATACTGGAAACATTGATGAGCTAATAAACAGGACGGACTGCTGAAAGGAGTAACAAGCTTCGTACCTGCAGATTCTACATTTAGCCAAACGTGCATTTTTGAGGTCGTAGTGACAACATTTGGTTCCATCCGGGTAATCACTTTTTCTGGAGCTGTCATAATGAGCATGATAATGGCCATGGGGACCATATTTGACGACCTAGAATAAACCAGATATCAAACAGCTAAGTTCTGGTACAGATGCAAATACCTTGTGATATTTCTTAATTTTCAAATTTAAAAGTAAGCTCGAAACTGAGTTTTACCTGTAGAGGCTCACCTCCATAAACTATTCCCTTCTGAAGACGAGTAAGCTTGTAAACGCTGGAAACAAAATCCAACAATAAACTTCTGGATTAAAACAGATTTCTTAAAGCAAATGTGCTTTGCAACAACTACCATCCCCGTGAGAAACTTCTTGTCAACTTTAAAATTACTTAAGAGGCCCCTAGAGTGACTTGACTTTCAAGACGGAAACAAAATTGTCCAATCACAACTAAAAAACACTGTCATTGAGTCTTGCAACCAATGAAGATGACTCAAAACTGAAAGACTGGTATTTTTCATAGTAACTCGGTGCAAATAATTATTACCCTAGACTTGTCAGTCTTCCCAACATTTTACACGCATGCTTATTTGCAAAAATTGGAAAAGCAGGATCATGTGTTGGAATGATCTGTAAGCTTACCGTTCTCTTAGTCTTCTTAAAACATCATCTGCTTCAGCTGTCTGAAAGAGCCACACTTGATCACTGAAGCGATCTCTGTGATGAGGATGTTTCTCTTTCATATCATTCATGTACATGTCAATGGCGTGTGTTTTAAATGTCCTCCACTCGGGGTATTCTACTTTGCCTGTTGAAAACGGATAAAAATTAGTGTCATATGTACCATGAAAACTATGAGCTTCCACGCCACTTCATCACAATGTTCATTTTTTTAAAACTGTTTTCCGACCATCTTTTCAATAGTCTTGCGCAAATATAGGTCACGTTTGGCATTCCTAGTAGTAGGGGACTAGGAAGGAATGTCTGAAAACGATTGGCTTCGAGAATCGAAATAAGAGAGAGCGAGTGAGCACCCAGACCGCTTCGTAACAGTGTATGTGAAACTGATATGAGCGAATTCGGAAAGGGAATTTCAAAAAATCGCTTTTACAAGAAAAACCTCGCGATCTGAAGTTTAATTCTTTCCCATTCAAGCATTCTAACTCTTCATTCAAATAGGACAGACACAAAGCGCTCGTATTGGCTTGAAGAAAAACCCGAGAAATGGTCTATCTAACTTGATTTTATCTACCATATCTCGTGCTTACCGTCTTCGAATTCTTTCAACTCCAGATATTCTATCCTGTAAAACAAATGAGTTAATCATAGTTATGCCGTAATTTACTCTATGGGTAGGTAAACAAAGAAATGAACTAATGAAAATTTAACTTACATTTCATCGACCTCTTTCGGTGAAAGATAAAGATGTTTAAACTTTTTAGCAAATATTATCACCTGTAAAGCAAAGAGAAAGTCAAATGGTTTCATGTAATGCGTAATCAAGTATGGATATGTGTACGTTGTGTTTCAAATTCTTCATCAGAAAGTCCTAGCCGTGATTTTTTTTCCAAAAACGAAAAATCTAATATTAAAAATTTGAACCAGGACAAAATGTGCATTTCTCAAGTAAAGCCCCGTCCAAACACTCATGATAGTATCGACTACCACGCGCGTTTGAACACGAACTATCATCTATAATCGACTATTATCAATTATTATGTAATTTGGTGATGTTCAAATTCTACATGATAGTTGATGATAGTTTTTGTCGTTTGAACGAGCAGATGATAGTAAATGATAGTTTCTTCGGTCCGCAGTCTTGTTAAAAACGGGCTCAAACCGAAATGGCTAGTGGTAATATGACTAAAATAGCCTTCAAAATTTCGCGGAATGTTCTCGTAGCTCATTCTCCTCATCCCCTGGTAGGCTTCAGTATCTTCAACTCGCAACTTCTTGACTCAAATTTCAAATGCCACCTCAACGCGCGCCATGTTTGTTTATAATTACGCGATCTCATGGACTGATTTTGTCAACTATGATCAACTATCATGAACCGATGACCGCAAAAATGATAGTTAATGATAGTGAATGAAAGTTTAAGCTACCATCAACCATCATCAACTATCATCAAGTTATTGACAATCAATGATCATCATCATCGTCATCATCGTCATCATCGCCATCATTATTATGATCATGGCTGTTACGTTTTATATCAGCTTTAACTTTCCCTTCAGCCTTTACCTGACTACAGTAATAAAACTTAATCATTTTACGATTATTTTCCATTCAAATGCAGTTCTCCGTGAAATTACGCGTGACTCAAAATGTAGTGTCTTAACTCCTTCAACAAATTGATTCCCCCGGGTAAAAAGCAATGATATAAGGGAAATTGCAGTTTCATAGTTTATTACATACTAGTTACTGCTTCTTGGATGACACCACCTACTCCTTCCTCATCCGCGATGAGATAAACCTCAGTTAGGTCCAATTGGTCTAAGTTCATTGACTAGCTTCAGTGAACGTAGAGAATACGAGCTCACCTCATCTTTTGTAATTTCGTAATCTCGATCGAAGTCCCAGTTAAGAAAATATCCAGCAGAGCTATTTGAGTGGCCTGTTTAAAGTCAAAAGTACAAAATCATCTTGTAAGGAATTACATTTTTAGTGGTATTACTCATTTGCGGGTATTTTGTGAAACCCAAAGTAATCAATATCTCTGCCTAATCCAGCCGAACTTTTTCTTCTTTTGATTGCAAATTTCTTTCTCCGGAAAGATTTGCAAAGTAAAGTGTTTGTTCCAGGCCAGGGTTAGGGCTGAATGTCTGTAATCAGCAACACCACCACAAGCAAAGACTGCCCGAAGCGCCTAGGGCTGAACCTGTAATTTACCTTCAGTTGATCTGACTGTTTTCCCGTGCTGTTTCGCCACTGGGTCCAAGTGAATATCACTTTTAGCAAATCCAACGTATTCAGCTACATCAATTATGTGATCGGCTTCTTCCGGTGACAAGAAATCCGGAATTTCTAAATGAAATGAAGTGAAAATAAACATCTCAAAAAGACAGGAGTAAGTTGGAGAGAACACAAGGCTTCTTTACAGCTGCTTTTGGTGAATGGTTTTAGGTAGTTTCTCGTGTGTAGATTTTAAAAAATACTAACTACACCGTTATATCATGCACGAGCTGACGAGTACATGATTAGAGTCCCACAATCCCTTTCTAGAAGCTTAGGACTCAGTTGACGATATTAACTCATTTAATCATGTTAACAGCTTCGGTCTTTATTGCGAGCCAATGAAGCTCTCTGAATTGACGAGGGACCATTTTTAGGAGCATCAGAGTGAAAAATGGACTCATTTCCTCAAAATCGGCTACAATTTTAGATCCTTTGCCATAGCAGATTCACCAGTTTATTTGTGGCCCAACATGACTGTCTAACTTCCAAGTTCTTGACGCAATTATTTTCTCTTTTGGGGTACCTAGCACGTTCTCTCATATTTTTAAAGAGAATTTGGTGTTTTAAATCAAGGTTACAGCGCCCAGTTTAAACCTGATGAATCTACAATTCTCATCATCCGTTTACTGGATACGAGGAGAGGTAAACATTGATCACTCCTTGAATTACAAGGGGTTGGCACTTCTCTTAACACCAATTCACTCTGAGAAATAAACATCTGTGTCTCTAATAGAATGGATAATTTTTTCGTTGCTGTACCAAATAACGCCGGTTGTACAGCCCTGGTGATCATGGTATAGATCTTCTCTCCTTCGAGCCTGACCTTTCGTTCGTATCCAACCTGTGGACGCAACCAAGTTTCCGTTATTACAGTTAATCAGAAGCATTTTTTTAACTTGAGATTCCATAAAACTTTTCTAAGAAAGATAACTTTTCTGAGGGATTCAAAGTCAACTGAATCATCCATTTACCGCACAGCGGTTGCTTTTAAAGCCTAAAACATAGAGAGTACCAACACAGCGGTCAAGCGTGGTGCAAGCGCATGGGGATTAATTTTGCCGGACTGGCTGTGCTCCATTTTCCTGCGCAAATTTCCAAAGGAAATATCAGAAATACCCACTGTCACGAGAAATATGTGAAAAAAAAATTGAAAGTTCATAGAAACTATTAGAGGAGACAAAAATAGGGAAAAGAACACAGAATTTTTTTGATTTCAGGTATCCTATTGATTTATAATTTTATTCGAGAGTGATCAAAAAGGTCACACGGCTTCATATGGTGGCTTGTGTGGTTGATGGCTTGGAAGCCCGCCACCTCGCTATTGCAACGTTCGCACGTTTGACCACTGTGTTGACATAACCACGTCAAGGCACCTGATGTTTGGATTGCGGTGCTAATGGCACTGCAAACGTTTTGCTCATTTAAGAAGGATAATAACATTTGTATCAAGAGTACCATGAATGCAGACATGGAGGTACATAAAACTGCTGGCGATTATCAAAGTACCAAAGAATCGGTGTTGAAATGAAAATTGCTTGCGAGCGCTATTTCCCTCTCTACAATGATTATGGTATAATGCCATGATGGTTTACACATCATTATAACAAATTTATAACTTTATAATTTTAGTTAAGGGACTGATCGGATTTTCGGTGGCTCAGTTTCTGCAAGAGTTTAAAAGAGTTTTTTTTTCACTACTGCTTAAGTAGTGCACATTACTGCGAGGATCACTTTCATTCACTTCAAGTTTAAAAACTGTTTATGCCCCCTTCGTTTCCGCCGCTTTCTCGAGTCCGGTCCTTGTCCACCCCCCTCGCTCCCCTCCCTGGAAAGAGAAGCTTGATCTCGTCTCCCAAACAGCGGCTGATTTTTCGAGCCTAGCAATTTTAGTTTCATCATTGACTTTCATTTGATTTTACGTCGTGGAGAGATTTGAAATGACAGCAACTTTATTCAAAAGGAATAATATAAGAAAAAAAAACCCAACCGAATCGAACAAATCGTGTTAATAGCTGACTGAATGATCGTCTGAGTCTGAATTATGTAACTTTCACGGAAATTGTTGATATTGTTATTTTACTCGAGCATAAAAAAATTTGACAGGCTTTTAGAGCTGTTTTGAATAAAATTTGGCAATACTTAGAAAACAACAATTCTGACACTCAGAGGAAATCGTATTCTTTAAATAAGCGGTAATTATAACTTTTGAATTCATTCCGCCAAAAAAAAAAAAAGTTTAGGGAATTTTCTTAGTGCTATTTCGTGGAGGAGTAGGCGATTTATTTTGAAACTATGTAGGGTTGATCATATCGTGAACATTTTCTGACTGACTAACCTTCACAGGATCCCAGCGGTATAATTTGTGCTGTCCATCGTCTTTGCATGGTCCTTCATTTTCTACAAAACAATGACCCTTAGAACACGAGGTTTCCTCGGCCTGAGTGGCGCTGTGTTCGCTCGCAAATCCTCGTTGAAAAACTGCAACCACTATCAAAATCAAACCAGGAAAATTTGCTCTCATGTTGTATATATATGTATATATGTAAAAAGCTGCTTCCTTTTGACTAGATAAACCAAATTTTCTATTACGTCGTGAACGTAGAAACGTTCCACACAAAGCAAGAGAGCAAGTTTCGATTACAGCGAGTAATAAAAGAAGTTTACAATGAGGAATCAATAATTAATTGGGTCCAAGCAAAATTTTTGGTGGTGTTTTGTAAAGTAAAGAGAAGATCTTAGAGACACCCCCTGTGTGACTTTGGCTGTCTTTTAATGTTGGTCGTTGTTAAACTAACAGGTTTTGAGCCTAGGCCATGTGCGTTTGAAATTGGTTTCCATGGCAACCAATTGTGGGTCGATTCCTTTTCCTTTTTGGCCATTTGATCTCTAAGAAAGTAAGATCTGGCCAAGAGGACGACAGAAATCCAATGGAGAGATTTATGATTGCAACAGCTAAACGTCTGTCACAGTTTTTAATTGATGATGTCATCTCAATTTTCAATTTTCCAATTTTATTCATAATTTCATACCATTTCAATTGCCTGAGTTTTCTTGAAAAGAGTTACTAGTCGGAAAATATTCACCGTGGCTCATGATAAATTCCAAGTCGTAGTTAAACTGTTAGCACTGATCAACACATGATGACCTTCAGTTATTAGTCTGTGACAAAAGTACGCTTGAAAATAAGAGATTCCAAATACGTCGAAAGGAGACGAACCAACCTACGACCCCCATATGAGTTCATGACAATAGAAACTCCCGGTCGCTCAGAGACCAGTTATATATCGTCCACAATAAAATGATAAAGCGAAGTAGATTTATGGTGCGTTTTCGATTTCGAAGGGTTAAGAACATTGGAAATTTTGAAAAAAAAAAAAAAAAAAAAAAAAACGATAGCTTTTCCGACTGTTAGGTTGCTACATATACCGAGAAAAAAGAATTTTCAAAACGGGCCTTTCTGGACCAGAGGTAAAATTGATCATTAGTTCTAGTTCTGTTTGATAGAGGGCTGTTTTGTCATTTTTGCAATCGAAATCAGAAATAACAATTCGTAATTCTAAAATTTTTTAATAATAACTGAAGACAAAAACATAAGAAAACAAGATTATTAAAACTTGCAGATAAACTAACTTTAATGCTTCATTTTCTTTCTTAATGTGACAGGTGTTTACAAAAATGGAATCAGCCTCAATGATATCTCGGCAAGAATGCTGAATTATTAATTTAAGGCTCTTTGCAGAGAACCGACAGGGCGCTTGATAACGCCAAAACAATCTTTTGAATCTGCAACCATTGCCTAAAGCTGCGGCTAATTCTTCCTTTCAATATCCAACATTTGGAAGCGTGGAGTGGTGAAATTTGACATCAGCAATTTGAAAGTAAGATGTTTGATGCCTTTTTGAATGATTTAACGGGCACTTGAACTGCAAAAGCGAATATTCGAACCGTAGTCGAAGGCTTGCTCTTGTTGTCAGAACTGTAGCTGTAGTTATTTCACAATCACCCGCATTATTATGTCAACCACGGTTTAGTTTCTTGAGCTTTGTAGCTACTAGTTAGTTAGTGAAGCATAACAAAACTGTTGTAGGAAAACGGCACTTAGTCTAATCGTCCTAATATTGAAAATTTCCGTTTTGTAAAATAATTAATCATTCTATGCGACAAGATTAGCATAAGTGCATCTTATAAACGCTTGAATGGTTTGACACGCGCTTGATTCGACGGAAAAAGAAACGGTGAGGCCATTTTATCGAGCATCCATCCTTTTCCTTTTCAGCTTTAGCAGAGTGTATACCTCGTTTAAGTATATCGGCTGTCAAAGTTATAATTATTCGCCTCTTGTATTCAGAACAGCTTTAATCCTCCATATTTCATTTCTCGAAGAACGTTGGTGTTCAAGTTAGTGATTGCTAAGAACTAGCAACTGTATCGTTAACTGAAAAGGTCGTCATCGTTCATCTTGGTGAAATACAAGACCTAGGGTTATTTGTACATTATTTGATTACTTTGTAAAACGAACGATATCGCTCGATTATCATTGTACTTCTGCATAGTTTTAACTGTCTCATAACCTAAAAGCTTTATCATATTTAGGTCTATGTGGCGGATAGCGAAGGAGTTTTGCTACATAAACGCTCATCGACTCAAAATTGAGGTGGATTGAACATTCATGTAACCACGAAATGAAAGAAAAAAGATAAAGAAATCCTGCAGTGAGCGATACATGGCTTCGATTGTCAGTGATGTCTCAGAACAAAGATAAATACTGAGTTTATTATTTAGTTTATTAGGAGCTTCTTAAGTATTCCAAAACAATCTTTTGAATTCTGAATCGCTTATCATTCTTATTACAATTCAGTATAGCTGCCGGTAAAATACGTGAAGTTTGATATTTGATGAAAGCAAAGCAAAATGCATGTGTTATGCCCATTTGCAGGTTACGATCCCGATTGCAGAGGTGCAATTAAGGACATGATGCAATTTCACAAACGCGTAATTATGGTATTTTCCACTCTTCTTCTTGCCTCATGGCTCGTTTTACAATTATTTGAAAGAGATCTGTGTAGCAAATCGCTCAGCTTAGAAAGGTGAGTGTGCTGTTTTTGCATGGTTATGTTTATTATGTTTTTTTTGTTCTGTTTTGTTTTTGAGTTTTCGTTTATTTATTATTTATCCATTCATTCGTTTCCTGTACCCTTGTAATGTAAAATAATTATTAATTAAATGCAAAAAAAAAGCTTTCGAGCGGGGTGCATCATTTAAAACTTTCTTTTCTCAGATACCACCTGCCATTGCCTGTACAGCGGTCTTTTGCGTTTCCTCGGAAACGGTAGAAGCGTAAGCCTAGCCAAGAGTTACTCGAAGGCAAACAGGGAGAGGAAAAAGTAGAGGGTATGGGGTAAATGAACACCTGCTTCGATCAAGATTTCCCTGTTTGGCTCCAAGGACACGGGAAAGACAACAATACAAGCTTTGAGCGCCACTACTTACTGTGCCAATGATTGACGAGCCATTGAATCAAACCTATTACAATTAACTTGTTATTTATTGATGAAGTCATTCTTGACTACTTTCTTAACTTTACAGGAAACTGATGGAAGTTGACCCTCTTGAACAGTCAACAGATAAGCTGCAACTTCAATGTAAACCGGCGAACAACATTTTATTCCTAAAGACGCACAAAACCGGTTCCAGTACGGTGACAAACATTTTAAATCGTTACGGCGATACTAGAAGTTTAATATTTGCCATGCCTGCGACTAAAAAGAGCTACAGTTTCTACTGGCCTCTTTCCTTTTCACTCCGGTTTACACAGGTACTTTGGAAAGCGCCAAATATCTTATGTAACCATGCCAGATACAAAAAAGCACCAATGAACTGGCTTTTTCCAAAACAGACAACTCATTATGTTACAATATTGAGGGAACCAACACAGCATTTTGAGTCTATCTTTAATTTCTTCTTTCTCGGCAAACATTTTAAAGGATTGGAAAATGCTTCGTCGCCTCTTGAAAAGTTTCTTCAGAACCCAACGGTATACCTTAAAGTAGCAAATCGAACAAAAAACTCTGGTTTGTTAAAGTTGATGAAAAATCCAGCGTTATTTGATCTGGGTCTTGACACAAAGTATCATGATGATCTAAGTCTAGTGCAGAACTACATTCGATTCCTACAAAGAGAATTCGACGTTGTTATGCTCATGGAATACTTCGATGAGTCACTGGTGCTTTTGAAAAGACGACTTTGTTGGAAAATCGACGACATTCTGTACTTTAAACTCAACGAGAGGAGAGACACCGATAAACAAAATCTATCTAACGATGTTAGAGAGAAAATTGTAAAATGGAATTCTGGCGATGAGCTTCTGTATAACGCTTTTAAACGAAAGTTATGGGAAATGATAGCAGAAGAAGGCCCAGATTTTTTCAAAGATCTCGCAATCTTTCGAAGACAATTAAAATGCGTCAAAATGACCTGTCTACAAGAGGGGAATTTTCTGACCAGGCCCTATGCTGGGAGACTGGTGCGAGGCTATGTAGTGAAAGCTAACATTTCTAAAAGTCTTAATGAATCTTGTAGTAGGATGATAATGAATGAGATACCATATCTGGATTACCATCGCGAAAAATTGTATCGACAACTTTTAACTATAGACAAACATGAAATTCACGTAGATCGTCTTAGATGAAAAAATTAAAAGTATTTAAACGTGTATACTGCTCATTGTTTTTTGTTTTACTTGCCAACGATCCATTACTGCTGTTCTCTAGCTCCTCGCATCCTTGTAGTGAAGTCAATTCCCAGTTCTACACGGTAAGACGGAGACCAATATTAAGAGGAGCGCAGCTGAAAGAGCAGGAAGTGTCCCCACCAGCGCTAGCAAACCCGACGTAACGCAGTGATGTAAATATTACACAATCAGAAGCTTGATCTTACCCTTCCTCCCCTCCCACCCCCACCCCCACCCCCACCCTCATGGAACCAGCAATATAACTTATCCCTTCTACGGAGGGCGATGCATCAGGAGCGAGCATAACAACCATTGTTTATTTCGGATGGCATTAAATTATTACTCAAGTCATGCATAAATTTGAAAAAATCTCGAAAACAAGCTTTTTCATTTCGGTCAGTCTAGTCACGCTAATGATAAGCGGCAGAAATTTTGCCGTGCTGATCCGATGTCAGTTGATTTTCTTCAGCAGAAATACTAGGAATATATTATTAAGTTGTTTATGTGTGTTTTGAAAATAACACGAAGTATGCCTGCGGTGACCCACAAGCTATGTCCATTGATATATCATGCAGACAAGTACTGCGTTCTCCGAATTTTATGGGCTGGATCATCAAAACTAAAGAGTATACGCCCAAAATTCCTCTAATAAAAAGCTGCTTAATTTCGTGCTTCCTTACATAAGAATCTGTCATATTTTCTGGTGATTCCAAACTTTTTGACAGGCAGCGTGATTGATGCAACCTATTTTTCCATGAAGCGTAATTCAAGCGTTTAGATATTCGTGATTGTCCTGATCACGATCGCCTCAATATTTATAGAGTTTTGACCGAGTTTAAGATAAGGTAAAATCTTGCAGGAAGAAAATACAGACCCTCTTGCATATTCTGTATTCCGCTTTAGCGTCGATCGCAACATCATAATTTAACATTGTGATCTTTAACATAAATTTCATAGAAAATCAGCGAACCTTAAACTAATGTTTCTTTGCTAGGATTTGCATAAGGCCAGTTCCCAATCGCCTCAACAGGTTTTTTACATTCAACCCCACGCTCAACCCAAAGAAAACGTCGAGAAGGTAAGCCGGTTTATCATCCTTTTTCCAAACATACTACTTAGTATTCCCCTGTATATCCTGTAGAGAGAACATCAATTTAAATTTGTCGGCAGGTATCACGGTTTTAAAAGAGCAATGACACAGGCAAGTTAGAGAGAAGAAATAATCTATATGCGGAGGAGAAACGAAACATTTCAGGGCGATTTTACTCAAATTTTAGATTAATCTGCTCAGTTCAGCATCTAGAAATGTCTTGAGGGGGGAAAACACGAAACGACTGCTATATTTTATCAGGATACGTGTCTTTCCAGCCACATTATAGTCCATCTCGTGATTGTTATACCAAGTAACGTCTCTTCAACCCATTGACACGTTTAGCGTTTAACTTCAGCTAACAATCGTGGAGTAAAATTCCTGCACACTTTTACTTAAAAACTAGATCACTATATCATGTTTTATTCACCATCATCAGATTTCACTCTGTCTGTTCCCTTCTCTACTTCTTATTCAATGAAAAGGACTTCATGATATTTCATTATATTTCAATGGTACTATCAAGCTGGGTTAACAAGGAATACGAATATAATGGTGAACTAAAGAGATTTAGGCCTAGCCTCTTAGGATATTAACGAGGATTCCTTTTAATTAGGTTCAAATCCTTGAACGTGAATCAAATGGAACTTCCTAAAAGCTGTGAATTGACCACCATCATGGCGTAAAAGCATGTCTGTTTTGCATTTGGTAAAGAATTGAATAAGTTGCGATGTTTGTAAACAAATAAATTATTCAGTCAAGTTTGCCAGACATTTCAATGACGAATTGCCTCATCGAGCCAGAAATTTTATACTGATTGTTTTGACCCCTGTATTCAATAACATTTAAGAATGTGGCAATTACATGTCTCTTTCAAACCAAATATGATTTGTATTTATTTGCATAATAGATGATGTATTTTGTTTTGTATATTTTCAGTTTGAGGCCAACTGATATTATGAGGGTGAGGGTTCACAAGAAAACTTCATTTTGTTTCGTCTTCTTCATTGTGATGCTGATTTTCCTCTTACTACAAGTTAACGAAGAACATGAAATTTTTACCTCACAGTAAGTATTGAATGGATGGCACTATGCTAGGAGAGCATTTCCATAAGGTGTTGTATAATTTATAATTTATATGGATAAAATAAAATTTAATAATATAAAATTTATTTCAATAAAACCACGAAAGTCATTGCTGTGTACATCGTACTTTTCACAGATTAAATTTGATATATTTTTGAAAGTCAACCTTTTTGTGATTAAGTTCTTTGCCGATTGATCCTTGCCACAGTTCCCTTGAAGAGTGCTTCGAAAGGATAGAACATTTCAGCATTATGCAGTATGTTTGTGGGCCCAGCTAACCCGAGTCTCTTATCGTTAAAGCATACAAAAATGTCTATCAAGCGTGGGCCCCGAAACGGCGCTCTGGTGTTGTATTCACAGGCAAAACACAACCCACAATTTCTCTACTCGTTTGTAGGCCCAGCTAGCCCGAGTCTACTATCGTTAAAGTATACAAAATATCTATTAAGCGAGGGCCCGAATGGTGCTCTGGTGTTATGTTCTCAGGCAAGACTCAACCCACGATTTATCTACTTGGACGAAGGGCTACCGCTGGAAACGTCAGTTTTAGAAACTCTTAACGGTGGCCAATTTACATCAGTTATCAGTTCAGTTGATAAAACCAAACTATCTTTTATTAATTAAAGGAAAATTAGCTGATATTTTCCTAGAGTATAAACATTTCTCTCTAAATGTTTCTTATCCTGCTTTTCTCTTCTTAATTATCAATTATTACTCGACTCACTTTCGTTCATTCATCTATTCATTTTTCACCCATTTATCTGTTTTTTTTTTCATTTATTATTTCATTTGCTACAGGACATCCGAGCAGGAACTTTCCAGCATGAACTGGGAATCTCTAGATAGCCAGCCTCGCTTATGCGAACCAGTGAGAAATATTTTATTCTTGAAGACACACAAAACAGGCTCCAGTACTATCACAAACATCTTGAACCGCTATGGTGACAAAAATGATTTGATAATCACCCTTCCTGTCAAGAGCTACTTATTCCATTGGCCATCGTCATTTCGTCTCTCGTTTGTAGAATCCACTTATGGTAGACCACCGAACATCCTCTGCAATCATGCCAGGTACAACAAAGTTCCCATGAACTGGCTTTTTCCAAAAGAAACATCACGCTACATTACAATTTTAAGAGATCCAGTCATGCAATTCGAATCTGTTTTTAATTTTTTTCATCTGTGGTATCATTTTGATGGCTTACAAAAAGCACGTTTTAAGTTGGAAGCTTTCCTGGATAATTCTACATTATATTTCGATCAAGTTAAAGAAAAGGTTGGTAGATATATAACCTTAAACTTAATCAAGAACCCTACGTTATTCGATTTAGGACTTGACACAGATTTCTACGAAAATCTAACTGCGGTGCGCGATTACATCCGATTTGTCGCACAGGAGTTTGACATAGTTATGCTCATGGAATACTTCGACGAGTCTTTAGTTCTTCTAAAACGACGTTTCTGCTGGAAATTCGAGGACATTTTGTATTTCAAACTCAACGAGAGAGGGGAGCAGCACGTTCGTAATAAAGACCTTTCCAAAAAGGTCAGAGAACAGATTAAAAAGTGGAACGCTGGGGATGTATTATTGTATGACTACTTCAACAAAACGCTGTGGAGAATGATAGGCGACGAAGGTCCAGAATTCTACCGCGATCTTTCCATCTTTCAGCAAAAGTTAAAAGCCGTAAAGAGTGCTTGTGTGCAAGAATATAACGTTCTCACTCCGTTAATTCCCGGAAAGAGAATTTTTGTTCATGGTTATGCTTTGAGAACTAATATTTCCAAAGAGCTGTACAAAACTTGCTATAAGATGACCTTGAATGAGGCTCCATTTATGACTTATCATCGTAAAAAGAAGACGAAAAACTTTGAAGCTATTGACAATTCTGTAAATAAACCATAGTATGCTATACATACCGTGCACTTGATGTTCACTTAAGTGTGTAGACATTGATAACGGGGCTTTCCCTTTCGCTCAACCCTTCAACTCCCATAAATGATCAAGACAGAATTTCTCCTAACGATATCAATACAATATCAAGCAGACTTGTAATGAGAATAAAGATAAATATCAATAAGGGGATTAGTCATTGTTCCAACACCAATTCTCCAAACTCACATCATGAGAATTGTACAGCGGGCAGTAAGGAATTACTCAGTAATGAGATTTGAGAGTGAAAGGTTTAACTAAAGCTGGTTGGGAGGGAAGAGGCGGGGTTGCTAGTGGAACGCCTCGTTAGGAGAAGCTGAGACGATCTTTCAATTATTCCCTATATCGTAGCAACTTATAATCATTTTCTGTGACATAAAATCTGCACGTAAATGAAAAACATAAACTGATTATCAAAATACAAAATACAATGGCGGCACAATTGAAACATGTAGTTATTTTCCAAACCCAACAAGTCTGCAAACAGACAAATTAATAGAATATATCAAACAAGCGGTTAGCAACCTCTACTCTGTGAAAATGGGAAAAGAAAAGGACAAACCTTCTTCTGGGTGGGGCGTCATTATTGAGGGCTAAGTCTACATTTTACTTTGATTCATTTGCAAGTCTACCAACAGCCCCCGAAGAAGACCAGTGTATGTTGGTGCGTTTCAACTTCCGGTATATACGTTATCTTACAAGAAGTATGTCGTGTAAAAAGTCATTTAGCCTCTTGTCCTCACCAGATCTCCTCGGCCAGCTGAATGTTTTGCTTTGTTTGCAAAACGAAACTCTAAGTTTATCATGGCGTACAAATTCGGGATCCGTTCATCTCTGACCTTGCTTGGTCTGCAAACAAGCAAGCAACATCTAGGAATCGCGAGAAAAGGTTTAATTCGCATGCAGCAAACGCACGCTGCAATGGAAAACGTCGACCCGAAATCATACGACCAAATTCCAGGGCCGAAGGGCCTGCCACTAGTTGGAACACTTTTTGACTACGTTCGAAATAAGGGTCACACAAGAGTGCATGAAATTCAGGCCGAGCGAGTTCAAGAATATGGAGAGATCTATCGGGAGAAACTCCTTGGTCTGGATACTGTAACCATCTCCAACGCTGACGATGTTCAGTATTTGTTTCGAAACGAAGGAAAATACCCCCAAAGGGAACCTCAGTTTCCTCTATGGATGAAATATAAAGAAGAACGGAAACAGGCCCACGGAGTGTTCAGCTTGTAAGTTCACTTTTCTGTTTAATTATATGGTCCTCTGAGTCTTAAATTTGCAAGAGTTTCATGCTTCCAATTTTTCCTTATAGCATCACCGCTGAATCAAACATTTAGTTAGAGGTTCATGAGAAGAAGCTCTTATTTGTTACACAAATTCTCCATGTCAAAACCGTGAAAATGTATAGAGAACGGTATGGAGAATATAATACCTGATGCGAGGGCAAGAAAGGATTATCAACCATGGAGGCTTGGTTCTTCTACCTTTACCCACTGTAGAGTGTCTAAACTCTTCCATTTAAAGTCGAAATTGACTGCAGTATGGGTGGGGGTACTACAGATCCCAGGGATTGCCTGGAGAAACATAGATTTAGCTTAGAAGGGGCTGGGGCCCCTATGAGCAGGTTTTCCTGGTGGAAGCTTCTTTTGAGGTCTCAGTAGACTATTTTCCTGAGAAAATTTATGTTAGATACTACAGTTTCCCCAGCCCCATGGCACTACTGTCTTTGTAAAGACTAATGTCTCTGTTGGTACACTGCAACCTTTTTTTTTTTTTGCTCCCAATGCACTAATTGGAAACAATGGTCAGATCAGCTCATCAGTATCAGCTTATGGTGTCTTAATCATAAATTACCTTTTAATTTAATAGCTATTCATTCAAATAACTAGCCACAAAAATGGCATAGATTGTTAAGCAATTACATAAACTCAAAATATGTGTGTTTTTTGGCTAAATCAACAGACAAAGAAGGACTCACTGCTCATTTTTTTCCCTGAAAAAGCTTTCCATGCCTTTTTTATCAAAGAAAAAAACTTGCTTGTTTCTTCATGTGTGGCACATAGTGGAATGATGGCTGCATATTATCCTGAATTTCATTCTTTTGAGAATTCTCTCTCTTTGTTGTTCAGATTTTTGAAATTGTGTAGAGATGCTAGTGATTTATGAAATAAACTTCATTTATGGCACCTGCAGTAGTGGCATTTGAGATATGTTACATAGGTTTGGATAGATATTTTCATAAAGACAGAGTACTGTCCAGTCATAAACTCATTATGCTGAGTCTTATTCATGCAACAAGCATCAATATTGTCATACAATGATTATGGACAACAGATATGATACATTTAATTCATTGATGACTTAAGAGATGCATTAGGTTGAAAGTTGTTGGTCTTAGCCCTTTGCATGGGTCATCATTACCTATGCTGCCTCTCTACTGACACAGGCTTTCAGACAGTATGCTGGGAGGGACTTGGGGTGAGAAAAGAGGGCCAACTTCCGAAGAGTGAAGAATTTCTGCCTATTGCATACTTCATGCCACAGGAAATTGAATGAATCCTCTCAGCAAAGCCAGTTAACATCATCAGTTACATTTCTCTATTGGTATTTGTAAGGGTCATCATGATTTAGCCCTTTGGCCCCGTGAGAGTGACTAATATCTAATTTCTCCTCACAATATCACCTCTAAGTCACACATTAAGGTCACAGGAATAAAGAAAATGATCATCAACTAAAGACACTCTTGATTGTTTCACAAATTCTCCTTGTCAGCACTTTAGGAAATGTACAAAGAACAGTATGGAGAGAGTGTGTCCTGGTGTTAAGAGTGTTAAGGATTTAAGAAAATCTTGACTGAGCCATATCAGGTTTTTGTATGTTGTAAATTTCGCTTTTTAAATGTAATTGCAGTCTTCTTAAAAATTAACACATTATATTAAGACTTTAGCCACAACTTAGTCATAAGATTTTGGTAAATGGGTGTTGAGGATGTAGCATAATGTTGCTATGATGAATTAGTCTTGTTACAGCCAGACACAAACTTTACCCCCAGTTAAGGCTCATATCCATATCTCTGGAAGCAGAGTCTAGCACACTTTGCTTTAAATTAGTACACCTCATCTATTGATCAGAAACTATGGTAACCATAATTATTGAAAGTATTTATTGCCTACTTGTGCTAAAACCAGATTTTTTTGTTCTGGTACCTTAAATATGTACAGCAGATGATTTATGGGGGCGTTTTTAGAGTTATTAATGCCATAATGGCACCACACTTACTAATACCTGTAATAAATCATTGATGGAACACTAAAAATTTATCTTCTCGTCCATACACAAATAGTAAATTTCAGTCATTATTAAAACATTAATAATTTTTTTTTTGGTGAGGCAGACAAGGAGAGGATTGGTTTAAAGTTCGTCGAGTGTTGAACATGAAAATGCTGAAACCTAAAGTTGTTGGTGAATACTCAAAGCCACTAAATGATGTCATATCTGACCTGTTACATCGGACTAAACAGACACGTGATAGTGATGGTGGCATTCCAGACATTCAACAGGAACTCTTCAAATGGTCTTTGGAATGTGAGTGTTAATAATAAAATATTTGCAAAGTTTATCCTCTGCTTTACAAAGTATTAGATTTCTCGAAGGCGGCGGTCTGGTTAAAGAAAAAAAAAACAGGTAAAGCAAGTGCGTCTAGTGCGCAGTTTAAATTCGCTCCAAAAGTTCAGTAAATGAGCAATTGGTTCAAGCGTCGGTATGCGTTTATTGAGATATGAAGCACGCGGAAAGATTGGAAAGCACGAAGAATGCGTGACAGTTCCTCGAGATGGAGCCGTGAGCACCTTTAACTTCTTGCGTGCTCTCTAGACTTTACAACTGCTTCATGTGTCGATGAAGTCACAGCTAACGCCCAACTTTAACTTGAAAACGTTGAAAAACCAAGATCCTTAGATTTAAACATGGATTGTGACTTGCTGACTCGGTATTAAAATTGAAAATAATGTCAACGAGATGTCGTGTTCTTTCATACTGCAGCGGTTGGCACGGTCCTTTTTGAAACAAGATTTGGCACCTTTGGCAAATCGCCGTCACCAGAAGCTGCCAAGTTTATTGAAGCAGTGGGGAAAATGTTCAATCTGATTCTGAAGGTATATGTTATACCTCTTTGGATTGACAAATTCTACAGACCAAAGAGCTTTCGAGAATTTTACGACTGCATGGATGTGATGTACGACTTTGGCAACAGCTGTATCGAAAACAAGTTGAGCGAAATTCGCAGAAGACTGGAAAATGGAGAAGAACAGGATGAAGATGCAGCGGAGTTTTTGAGTTTTCTGATCAGCAGAGATGACATCAGTTCCACAGAAATAACTGCAAACTTGGTGGAGATATTGATGGCTGCTGTGGAAACGGTATGGAATAATAATCGCCATGTTTTAAACAAGAAGTAGATTGGTACGAAAATCTTGAATTGATTGGATTTTACATGCATGAGCGATCATACCTGACCGTAAAGAGCTCTGTTGGAATTCCCCTCCCGTCTTAGGAGAACGCCATGGAGACATTGAGTAGAGATAACATCAAATTACCTTGATATATCTACAAAGAAACGTTTGACATGAATTGGACGAATTATACAAGTATCTGTCAGATTAATTCAACAAGGGGCGCCCGTGACTGGAAAACCAGAACGCGAACTTTAATTGAATAATTAAACTTATTTTTTTGTGATCCCCAGACGTCAAACACAAGCCTGTGGACTTTATATCTGCTTGCCCGAAATCCTTCTGTACAAAAGCAGCTTCATGAAGAGGTTAGCGCAGTTCTTCAACCAGGTGAACTAGCAACTCCTGCAACTTTACAAAAAATGCCTTTTCTTAGAGGATGTGTCAAGGAAACCTTAAGGTACTGTGGCAATTTATTTCAGTTTTATGCTGTGTGTTGCTATGCTAACAGATAAACCGGCAAAAACTGCAACTGTAATAGTTTTGTATTCGTGAAAATCTTTCTTACGGTTGGATATTGACTCGACAACCTTTATACTTTCCAAACTGACCCTAGCTTTTTTCCTGATACGAGGATTATTATTTGTAGCGATGAATTGATATCTTCTACTTTTTATAAAATGGCAACTGCTTTGATGTAAATTTATCCAGGCTTTATCCAGTCGCTACGGAAAACGCTCGCATGCTTCAGGAAGACATCGTCATTCAGGGCTACCGCATACCACCAAACGTGAGTCAATACCACTGCTACAAGGAATATAACTAAGAAGTGGTGTGTTTTGTGGTGTTTAAAATAAACAAAATCGTTCGACTCTTTGAACATTGTAATATTAGGAGAAAATTGAAGTCATCAGGTTTCCGCGATTTCTTTCTTCAGAATTTTTTTACTAACTTTTCAGCCACGGTTTTTATGGATCATCCAGTGTATAAAGTTTAAACGAAAATTTCGAGTAGTTCTGTTAAAGTTGATAAGCTGGGTCATTGAACTGACGTGGTGGCCGCAAATTGTCTTGTTTACCACTCCTGTGCGGTCTTTGAGTCGCTCAATCTTCTATTTTATTTTGGGTAAAAAACAGACGATGATACGTGTTCCACTGTATGCAATGGGTCGTGATCCAGCACTGTTTGATGATCCTTTGGAGTACAAACCTGACCGGTGGCTGAGGGATGACACGAGCAAGTCCCATTATCATGCGTTCGCCTCGCAACCTTTTGGATTTGGCACCAGGATGTGCCTTGGTAAGAAAGAGGAGCTTTGAACTGGGAGTTCTTAAGTAACAGTCTCATTTGGAAATTAGGAGCATATCAGGTTTTGTATTGTTAATTGTAACTTTTTCATTCCGGGGAGAAGATTTGCAGGGGGGTGGGGGGGGGGGAATTTCTATAGCTACCCTCTCGAAGCAGTAGCGTGCATGATAACCAGCAAAATGTATTTCTATTCCTCATTCCATAAGATTTGCGAGAGTGTTACTGATACATGTAAGAGTGTAGATCGCGAAATTTCAGTTTTGATGTATTAAAACGCTGTTTTTTGTTAAAAATCGTTGGAAAACATAATTTACATTTATATGAAGTGTGTCTGGTCATAGACCCCTGTAATATTAACAGTATACGAAGTTCATTCAAAACATCTAGTCCCTTCACTGTTCGAGGAAATTTAGATCTTTCCTTTATCAAATCGCTTATCAGCGAATTTCCAAAGAAAAGAGCTTCCCAAGTTACACTCTACAGGCTTTTTTTTAGGAAAATCAACTTCCTTTCTAAACAAGAGTACTAGCCATTTTCTGAGGTGATACCAATGAATTGGTTGAGCGCGATCTTGAGGATTTCATTTGTAATGCATTTAAATTTTTTCCTGAGCATTTTTTGTCTTACTAGGTCGCCGTGTGGCAGAACTGGAAATGCATCTTCTTTTATCTCGGGTAAGATTTTTAAACCTGACAGTCGATTTTCTTCTTTGGTATTTAATACGCCTTTTCTTATTATTTGTATTTTTTTTTTGTGGTGTTCTTGGGTCTCTATGAACATGAGTAAAGGCAATTTTTTGGCTTTGCATCTGTATAAAAAAATACCTTCCTATCATGAGTGTTTCCTAAAAATCTGACAAACAAAAGCAACTGATCAATGCGGTTTTTTTTTATGTTGATGGACCGAAACCGGTTGTAAAATTTGTTTGTAGAACGCTTGAAATAATTTCCTATTTGTTTGCAGACATGTGACAGAGCAACGCTCAATGACTTTTTGCAACACGTTATCAAAGTTATTTTGGTTTTATCCTCTTCTAATTACATTGTGCATTATTTACTTTGTTCCATCAGGTGTCGCAGAACTTCTGGCTTGAGTCGCTTAATGAAGTGAAACCAAGGATCACTGCGCTTCTTGTCCCGGACGGAGAAGTCAAATTGAGATTTATTGACCGCTGATATCAAACGGATCTTAAATGCACTATACCAGCACATCTGTTGCGTTTGAAACCTCAATTTCATCTGATAATTAGAGATAAAATCTGAAAATTAAGGCCACTGTTTAGGTGGTCTTGATTAGTTGGCGTAATCTGCGCCAGCTTCGGCCGTCCAGGTCACTCACCCTTTTTGTTTTTCTTTGAGATCGTTAAAAATTTTATTCAAGTGAATCGAATGGACGTTTGATCGATACTTGAATTTCCTAAGTCTGCTGTTGTGAGTATGCAGAACCAACGAAAACGTTAATTGATTTGCTGGCTTTTTTTTTTTTTTTTCTTGCAGCTCTACGAGTCACTTTTCATATTGCGCTGCATATGATTCAAGTACAGAACAAAGAGAGAGTTGAAATTTACCTTGAAAATCATCTCTAATCTATAAAAAACATTCGCTCTCAGAACTTTATCAGAAATATTCCTCAGTGCTTGCTGCTTCAGCAGTGGTAACGAATGAAAACATTTAAACAGAATAAGAAACGCCACATTACGATAGAACGCAACTATTGCCTCGGCGAAAAAATAGGTGTCCTGAACTGTAGCCAAGCACTTCCGTCAGAAACTTTCACAATTTCCGGTTTATCCATGAAGAAGATGTATACTCCGAAAATCGTGTAAATTAGAAAGAATACATAAGAATTTACCCTTAAATAATTCATGTATACTTCTGTATAACAAAGATAAAAGTTGTATGGTTAGGAGGCGTACTTCTCTATTAACTGGAATAACACGAATAAAGATGTTATCACATACTGAAAGGCCTGTAAACCGATCTATCAATGGTTTGATACAGTTTTACAAGTTTATCACGATGATGGTCTAGGTATGGAATTTCATTCGTAATCATTTTGTGGCATGTATCATTTAGTTCTTCAGAGACATCTGATCGTACCGCATAACCCTGTACAAATCTCCCAGAATACGGCTTGGTTAGAAAATTTCCCTCTCGCAGGCATTTTGTTTTAATATTTTTCAACTCCCTTCGAAATAGTGAAAGATCTTCAAAGAAGGCCGGACCTTCCTCCTTGATCATCTTCCAGAGTGTTCTATTAAAAGCATCGTACAAGAGCACATCGCCTGAATTCCAATGTCTAATTTGGTCCTTTACTAGACTTGGTATTTTCTGTTTGTGTTTTTGCAATCTTTCATTGAGTTTAAAATAGAGAATGTCCTCAATTTTCCAACAAAAACGTCGTTTTAGAAGTATTAGTGACTCGTCGAAATGTTCCATCAGCATTACTATATCGAACTCGTGTTGGAGAAAGCGAATGTAGTTACGCACTATGTCCAAATCTTCGTGATATTTTGTATCGAGACCCAGCTCAAATAAAGTCGGATTCTTCGTCAGTGTTAGCAATCCTGTGATGTTTTTCACTTGTTTAAGATAAAACGAGGCATTTTGAAGAAACGCTTGCAATGGGAGGACCTTGTTTTTCGATCTAAAGAGACGTTTATCAAGATGAAAAAAGTTAAAGACAGACTCAAAATGGTCTGTTGGTTCCCTCAAAAGCGTAATGTAGCGTGTTGTTGTCTTTGGGAAGAGCCAGTTCATGGGAACTTTGTTGTACCTTGCATGATTGCAGAGGATGTTTGGTGCTCTACCAAATGCTTGTGTGAACCTAAGTTGAAATGGTCGAGGCCAGAAAAAACTATAAAGTGATCGTGAAATTGGCAATGCAAACATTAAGTCTCTCGTGTCGCCATAGCGATTTAAAATGTTGGTCACAGTACTGGACCCAGTTTTGTGCGTCTTCAGGAATAAAATATTATTCACAGGCTTGCACGGTGGAGGCGGCGTGTCATCAGATAGCAAATCATTTACAAAATCGTCAACTTTGCAGTCATTGTCACAGTCACAAACACTCACTGGCTTTAAGCTTTCAGTTCTTGTTTTCCTATCAAAGTAAAAAATCATATATGTTACTATTCAGATGCAACATTCAAGATGTCTACCATATTATTCGCTCATAGTACAGATCAAAAGCGTAGTTAATGGAGGTCCTGGGGTGCCCGTGAACTCCCCTTTGTAAATCTTTTTCTTCACATTAATAAAAGCAAAGCGTGGAGGTCGACACAACAATCTGGTGAGTACCCTCTGTTTGGCTCAGTGTGATAACCTCCCCCCCCCCTTCTCCTTAAAAAAAATCCAGACGACACCCTGCAGATACGACTATTGCTAGGCCACTACCTAGCATTTCGCGAAGGTACCATGACGGTTCGCCGGTAACCGTTTACCCGTGGGAAGAGAGAAACCATATGGAAATAAAGCGTCCTGACTATCCACACAACACAATGACCCAACCTGATCCTGACCCCGAACCACTCCACTCGGAACCCAGTGTGCTAATTGTCAGGCCACCGTCTCTCCAATGCATATGGAGTCTACAGTAATGAGTTTTGTGCCTTGAACAGCGCGCTCTCAACCTAAGCTCTTTTCAGTCGTCGGGTATTTCAAGGTGTTCGCGCTCCTGTACATGTAGTTAACGATATTCAGCAAATCTCGACAAAAACAGCCAAGGGCACGTTTAACACGTATGGCTGACATCTCTTTGCTCTTAGGCCTCTTTCACACTTATCTAAACACTGAGACCCTTCGGCTCTTAATAGATGGTAGCACGAGTGCACGCACAATAACTGACCACGTTTCCAATTTTCTACACCACCTAGTTTTCTTAGCGCTCCGTTGAGAGAGACCGAAAACGACGACAGCAAGGAAAAGATTACTCTTGCATCTCTTTTCCTTACCAAACTTTCACTCCAGGCTCTTTTTATGTTTATGGTTAGGTAACACTTCCACCCAAAGGTTCGTGATCTTAGGGAAATGGCTTCTATGCTCTTTGTGCGTAAGCTCAGGCGACATTCTTTACAAACTCTTTTGGGATGCGCACCGTCAAAGCGGACCCTAAAAAGACTGGTTCCCGATTTAGATTTCAAGGTGTCGATGTCCGTTCCACTGGACAAAGATAACGAAGGCTCTTGCGACAAGGTAATCAACATTAAGAAAACCGTATTTAAAAAGGACAAAGAAAAAAATCGTGAATTTAAATTCATAATTGAACAAAAACCAATCTGACTCTAGTATTCGCCCTGCAGCGCTTTGAAACATCTGTAGTTCAATTTTTTGTTTTTTTTTTGTTTTTCTGGGTTGAGAATATTGCTTTTTGTGACAAAAGTCATGTCTGTGTTTGAAAGAAAATTGCCAGTCTATTCAGATCTTCTTGCTGCGACTTTCAAACATAATATCAACTTACCACAAATATCACAGCAAGTACTAGAAACATTAAGAAATTCAAACAAAGGTGATTCTTTGTATTTGCAATAGAAAAATATATTATTTCTCTGTTCACATATATTTTTCAAGTAACCTTCGATGAAACGATAAATAAATGTCAGCATTGGAAGAAAAATTTTTTTAATATTTAAACTCCAATACCACTAGAACTTGAGTGGCTACATTGTTTTGCGTTTATATTTAAATGAGAACCACGTCCGTTGGTCGATATGTCGTGAATAAGCAATTGTGTTTTATATCACATAGCTCAAGTTTTTCTCAGCAGATTTGAGCGGCTGTCTCATCCATTTATCCAAAGAACTTCTAAAATAAACCTGGTTTGGGTTTGATAGTCAAGATAATTTTTGCAACCATATCGTTGTTGAGTTAAACTTGCATCCAAGTATCTTGAATTCCTCACTACACATTTGACGGGATTTCATATCAATCCTTACATAAAACTCAAAAAAGGATTGACTTCTGTCGTGATAATAGCGATCAAATGAACTGTTTAAAACATAATCAGTAAGAAGAGCTATGATTTTTTTATTTAATATACCGAGAACTGAGCAAGGTGGCCGGTTAAATATCAAATTACTATTGCTTAAACAAACACGAGAAGGCAAATATCACGTTTCCGATCAATATTTCCGCAGGACATATATATTGGTTTTCCGCTTACCTTGTGAATACATTTATTCTGCGAATCAACGAATTTCAATCATGTAAGTTTGGTAAAATAAATTTCATAACGAGTAGGTCAGAGTTGCCTGCGTCATTTTCAAGACTTTCTCAGTCTCGATCAAAACTTGCGGGCTTTATTTGTGACACAAAATCTGTATTCAGAAATGCGAGAACTCAACCACAACAACCATCGGTGTCGGTAATACTTGCCTAACATATATTTCGCACTTAGACTATTGTCCAAAAAAAAATATATAACGTTCACTTACTCAAATCCGTAAGAAAGTACTCTTTCACATCCGCTAAAATACAAAGCCCAACCAAGAACCAGGGATATACAAAGAAAGCACGCAAACGGTCTCCGACGAATCGGAACTAAAACTCTAGACGCCATCGCACACTGAAGAAAGTAGAGGAAAGACAAATTAGCAATTAGCATATTAATTTGTCAGTTATCAGATCATATGTGCCGTAAAAATGACGCACTATGCTTTTTAATGGAAGCGTTTTTAGGTCAACATGACAACGCTTTATTATATTTGATAAAGTGTTGCTAAGTGTTTTCATTTAACATCACTAGGTCAAAAGAGTATCTTAGTCTTTTTCGCCTTGGAATGAAGAATCATTCGCGCAAGAGTAATCTGGAATACCAAAGACCATAACGAAAGAATTGAAAGAAAGAAAAACCTTCTAATCGACGGGCAGAACTAAAGAATTTAGACACATCAATATTCCCAACAATGCTTGTCATTTTGGAAAATGTCTAAGTATAGATCCCAGGTGGTCTGCTTTAACTGGCTCCCAGAGTTGTCATTTAAAGTTTGCAATATTGACTTTTTAGTTCAAACTTTTACCACAAACAGCACATTTCTATTTTTCTACCTAACAATCCGTACTCTTTGCCATAGCCCAGTCCTGGCAAGTAATGAATACAGAGGAAAAAATCTAATTAAGAGACTTTTTTTTCCGTATACATGAGGCTTTTAAATCCCCATATGCCGAACAATTGGAAGCTTCAACATCCACCCAAGGTAACCCACGGGCATTTGACTGTCATCGGTGCCCCAGAGGTGGGAAATTTGAACCTTGCCTCGGTGGGGTGGGGAATTTGAGACAGAGGATGACGTAAGTTTTAATTTTAAATTTAGAGGAGTTTAAAGTCCGCTTCCGTTAGCAAATGGCTTAGAAGAAATTTTCATATGGTAGAATGATGCTTACAAGTGAAAAACCAAACAGCGGCACCGAAAACTATAAAGTGACTTTGCTAAATTCTACAAAATTCGTTTATCACTCAAAGAATCGTTTATTACAAAATTGTGCTTGGGCGGTGCATCTGAACGCAATTTTTGTCTGAGGGAGCGTGAATTTGAACGAACCAACCATTAAAAGTTCAAATACCCGGGGGTGGGATGTAGAAGCTTCGAACTGATCGACGCATAATCTTTTACAAGTTCATGTGTCGACATTATCTCTATAGTAACCTCTTCCAAATACTAATTGCAACGACTGAATCCCCTTCATGGGCCCTCCACCTAAGATAATTCTTTCTATTTTGATTTATTGCGCAGCACATCGGAGTATTGGAAAATAGCCAAATTTTCTCTTGAGAAATTAGCTCAGGCAGCTCCTTTTATTCTTCACAGACATCCAAGCAACACACGAGGGTTTTGTGTCACTACTTTCGAGAAACCAGATCTGTAGAGTCTACAAATGACTTGAGACAAAGTTCCCCCCCACATTAAAAGCTCCATTTTTATGGTGGATTTATTCTCTTTATCGATTCGAAGCTCTCAAATTCTCCTTTCCCTTTTTACAGGTATTGGATCGATTTGATCGTCGTCCGTGCCCGGGGTTTGGGAATTTGAACCTTACCTAGCTGGGGTGGGGAATTTAAACAGGAAGTATCAAATCCTTTTTTTTGCGTTAACTTATTTCTGTGAGAGCCTCCAATTTGAACCAATAGTAAGAGTAAAGACGGTACATTATTATCAGCAATTTACCAATGGGGCAAAGCAAATGTAACAGCTTTTTAGTTGTTGTCATAACCATCCCTTAGTAACTTAACCTTCCGTCAGGCAAGATTAATTGCTGAATATCAGTCGCTTGTTAAATTTTTTCGAAATGTCACCGTTGTGAGAAGCCGAGGTGAATTTTGTATGTCACGCCAGATTGTCACAATATATAGCGTGACAGAGACAGCTGCTATACCAAACCAATGTTGTTAAATGAAAACGTTTATGTACAATTGTGAAAAAATAAAAACAACCAGTATCGCAATCCGAGTTCTAAATATGCGAATATAAGCGTGGAATCCCTGACACAGACGTATTATTGACAGTGAGTCAGTAGAAATCCGTAGAATATCTGATGAAAATCTACTTGTTTTGCGGTATATTCGGTTGATATAAATAGATCGGCTCTGAATGAATAAGAAAGCCCTCCTACAAACAAGCGGCAAATTAAAAGAAAACGAACACTTCTGAAAATTATTAAAACTCTCAAGTAAAATAATCCGTGTTGTTGAGTGCTAAAAAATCAATTTCTTGTCTAATTTTGACAGTATTTCTAACAGCTCTCTCTGTTAAATTTCATCATATGCAATATCCTCAAGCATCAGCCAAATTATATTTGTTAAGCCTGACAATGTCAAAAATTAAAACATATATCAACTAAGTTCAAAGAAATAATCAGATTGAGGCACTCACAGATCTCGGTCTGGGTTATCTGTGGCTGTGAAGACGAATTTGTGAGGTGTTTTCGAGATAGAAACAACTTAACACCCAACGTATTTATAGAAACATGACTAATTGGCAGAGAGACGACAATTTCAAAGCCTTAAAGGCAAAAAATGCAAATTTTTCTTCCAAAACAATCAGTGCTCATCTGGGATATTTCACTTTCAGTGTGACGATGTACAACCATGCCTCCTCAATATTTCAAAATTTAGAGAATAGTTGTATTCAGAAGCGAACTTGATTGAAATGATTTTATCGCAAATTTCAACTTCTTAATCTATTCAGTTAAGTCCTCAAGGCCTCTACAGACCAGACGAATGGTCACCAACAACCGTATGTGATAATATTCGCAAACTGCCTAGTGTTCTTTACCTTTTTGCCGTGTCTTGAGGCGGTGATATCACATTAAACACTCTTCTCTCATAAAATCGTAGGCCAATTCCAATCAGGGCGAAAAATAGGACAAAAACAAGGAGAATAGTGCATTTACGTGATCGAAACATTCCGCACATGGTGCTTACAAATGAATAGCACGGAACGGTGAATCACGTGAATTGAGCGGCTGTCAACCATATCGATTTCTGTAACTGTCGGTGCAAACAATGTTGTTTTGTTTTTATATCTAATAACTGCATTTGCTGAGCCGTATAGCATGGGGTGGATAAAAACTCCAGCTGGGAATTCGGAAAAAGTAGAATCAAGGCGTTTGCTTCGTTGTAAATAACCTAAAATCCATTCAGAGCTCTGAATTAAATTAGTTTGCGTGACAACAACAGACAAGGTAGCGACCTGGTTACATAGCACTTAAAGCGGATATGAGTATACATAGACTGAAGAATAAACTACACAAGTGGATGTGCTTGGCTTTAATTGAGAACTGAATGAAACGATGAATAGGAGGAGGAAATGAGAAAGGATAGCTTCAAAATTATTGATCAGAAATTACACTTCAGAATTCCATTTCTAGTAATTAACTTCGATTGCCGGCAAGCCGGAGTTAAAACTATGGAGGAAAAGAAAAACAGCAGACGGTAACTCACACAGTGAGTGATTAAGTAAAAGAGGACCCGTTTGCATGGCGCTGGAAACGGAAGTTACTAAACATCATTTATAAAAAAAGTTTAATGTGGAATGGGAAGTGTGTAACGAGCGCTAAGAAATGAGAACTAAAAACTGAGAGAGTGGAAATAAATGATTAGAATGGAAAACGATGAATAGGCAATGAAAAAATGAAAAAATAAGGAAAAGGGATTCTAGCCTAAATTGCCACCTTAAAAATTCAACCTCGACCTAAGGATTCGAAATTCGGATCAATATCAGTATCTGGGCAACTGCCCATCTACCCCTCCCCTGACTCAAGAATTAACAAATAGATTTCAAGTTGCCGTGCGTCTTACTGAACAGACGCACGGCAACTTGGAATCTATTTGTTTTATATCATAAAGAATTAAAAAAAGTTTTAATGATGACGTCATCTATAGGTCTGTCCTCCAATAGATCATAAGTGAGAACCAATCAGAATGCGTGCATAACTGAGCTTACTATATAACAGTCAATTGATAACAAGGGTTGCCCAGATACTGATATTGATCCCGAAATTCTATATCCTAACAACTGCAAACGCGGGCAGTAGACTGGTAAATAGACATACTTTATTAACTTCAAACTTTGAAGAAACTTTGGAAAATTGAAATTTCACTATAACTTTAACGGAGCACTAGTTCAAATCCTATCCCAAACATCCTAGCCAAAGGGCAACTTTTTTTAAGTGCAGCTCCTTATCAAATCCAATTCTCCTGTGGGTTTAATTTGTTCTGCACCGATAACATAATCATACAATTCGAGAAATTATAATCTCTTGTCCTATAATTGCAGAACTCGATGCTTTTCACCATATATCTTCTTAGCTTATGATCAGCTCAGGGTGTTTCTGCCAAACAGGAGGTTGAAAATTAATTTGCGAGCGGACTTCAGTCTGTCCCCTTTTTCCTCGTTTCAGGCTTGATTCCTCTGTAGTGTAACCTCAGGCTAAATTGTCTGTTCCCTTAAGATCTTCACCCGAGAGAGGTTTTGAATTTACTGTATCCTTATGGCTAAAACTATTATTGGCTACATAAGTAAAGGTTCATTAATCCCTTAACTCAGAATTCACAAAGTTAAATTGTCTATTACCTTATCAGGTAAAAGACAAACCTATCGAGGGTGCTTACTTTATATATCACGCGATTCTCCTAACTAATTTTAAATGAAACGTAAGGCTGTTTGGCCTGAGAATTACGAATCAGATAACGGGAGATTAAAGTTGATTTCTTTTTTGGCTGAGGCTTCTGAATGATCACTGGCAGACCTGGAAAAAATAGTCAATAAATTACGAACAGAACAGATGTTTCTATGTATATCTCGGGCTTTTCTTTGCCTTGCATTTCTTCTTGGCCAAAATGTTTGAGTGCAAATTAAATGTATTTCATCGATATGAGAAAAACTTGGTGCCCAATCTCCGCAAGACCTCTAAAATCTCATTCCCAAAGACCGACCTAGTAACAACATAAAACCAAGATACCAGATCTCTCACGAAAAAGCAAATGAAAATACGTCCCCCTCCCATTTTTTTTCTTTGTCAATTTTCGGAAGCATGATAATATTCTATAGCGCTTAAATGCCCATAACCTGCTCCAGGAATTCAGTCAGTAAAACACAGCGCTATCGCAAACGGCGTGGCAATAGCGGATGGGTGAAAAACGAGGGAAGTTTAGATCGAGTCACGTAATGCGACCCGACCCAAACCTCCTTTGTTTTCGCTCTGCCGATGTGACACCGCTACGATCTCGCTCCGTCGTACTGACTTAAAGCCTGGAATAGGCTAATATGCCTATATCTGCGTAAGTGGATACCTGATAGTAATAGCTAGCTTCTTGATCCCTCATTCCATAATTTGATCCGCCGGACAGACCGAACTGATTTCTAATACCATCCGGAAAATATCGGTCCCAGTCTTCTGACATAATTGGCTCTACAAAATCACGCCAATCAACTATTGGAAAGTGCTGCGAACAGATATAAAATACCCAGATGTTAGAGGGTTCAATAAAAAAAAATAAAGCCTGAGTTCACAAGAAATAACTTGGCCTAATGTAACAAAGTTATAAGCTCCTTTCCTGTGGTCACCCATTCCCTGTGAAATTCTGAAATTCTGATTTAATATGCCAGAATTGAGGTTGATATGCCACAATTTACACCATTCATTGTCTTGCACAGAGTAGAGGAATAAACGAATTTTTCATGTTCAAGAACATACTTCGCTCAACCCATGGATTTTTAAGGTATTTATTTTAAGTTTAAATGACTCTGTTGTAATCCAATCGAATTTAAGGAAGTGCCTTGCAACCAACTCATTCCCTATGGTTTATTTAGGAGTATTGGTCCGAAATACTTATGTCGGAAAAATCCTTCTTGATAGGACCGATATTGTAGTTTTGAGGCTATAATACTTCTTAAAGTATATCGACAAAAAGCAAAAAAAAAATTTGCAGAATTATCCCTCAAATATAAATAAAGGACAATGTTGATCTTGTTGTTAATGAGTGAATTTAATGTAATAAAATTTTACCCCATTATACGCTGGTCCATTGTACTCTGGCATCACGACTGGTCCGACGAAGTCTAGTAATAAAAAATTTTGGATCAGTTTTCTGCATAATGAAACTAGGCAGTCCTTCAAAAGCAAACCAATCTGACAGGGGATACTTTTCGGCGCACAGTTACCAAAAAGGACGAGACCAAATTGTGATTAAAACACATCAATACGGCAGATAGGTCTCTTCTATATAAATTAATCGAATCCTGTTTTCAAACTCCTCAGAACGGAATCCTTGGGCTGTATATGGAACTGTGCAATTTAATATAGTTCTGTCTCAAACAAAGAAATCGAAAGACTACCTGTTACTCAGCAATCTACATTCAGCACAATGAGTGTAATTTTAGCCATTTGATTAGTTTCAAAGTAAACAAAACCAACACAATGTGGGTTTAAGTATTTCACTTTCTTTTAGAGATAAAATTTAGTTTTGGAACAACAGGTCTTGTTTATAAGAATGACTAGAGCACGAGTAGATTAAAATCGGAGAAAATGAAGGTTACAAAACAAAGTGAACATTGTTGTGCGTCGAATTTGTTCATCTCTTATTTTGTAATAAATTTCCGGTCCATTCCTTTATCTAAATCAAATAGCTTATGGCAAGAAAAGTTGAAAATAGCAAATGCACTGCGAAAATACGATTTTATCTATTTATAAAGCTTCATTTTTATTGAAAGAATTCAATCGAATTTCTTGTATTGTGATGTCTTCCCGCGCAAGTGTAGTTTTCATACACAAATAAGTTAGCTCCAGAGTGTATCACATGTTAATCATTTTAGTTCTAGTAATAAATGATTGGTTTCAAAAATCCCTTTTATGATTTTAATACAATTTCAAGAAGATAAGAAAATAACTTGAGAACGGCATTGACCGAGAGACTTTGTCTTCATGATGCATCTGAATCTCAACTCTAGCAAGCAAAATGAAATACACAGTTATATAGTTGGGAGGATTAGTTCTTACGAGTATCTGCCTGTATTTGATCAGACCGTACTTACCACCTATAATGTTTCCTTCTGGACTCCTGTAATACTCGTCGCAAACCTACAAATACAATTGTAGAGCCCACATTTTGAAAACACTGCGTAGCCATTGACAGAAGTAATTGTGCCAATACAAATTTGTAGTTATGTGGTGAATACTTCAATACTTAATCGCCGCATGACCACACTTTCGAACAAATCATAAAAAAGAGGAATGTTGAAAAATTGCACAGAGAGGTCTAATGTCTTCGAGAGAACTGAAATTTCTCATTCAACCGAACGGAGACATCTATTCAAGAGTGAACGACAGACATCGATCTACTTCTTCTGTTAATGAGGAGAAACACATTTCCGAATTTGCTTTCAATAAAAAAATAGTAAGGGAAAGGAAATTAAAGCACAAAGTTAATTCTGTAGATTTTTAAAAATAACTAGCAAAAATATACAAAAAAATCTATGTTAGTCGTATTTTTCAAGATTCAAGATAGTCTTGTCTGGCACAAAATCACACCGAAATTTAGATCAATTAAAACAGTAGTATTAACAAAATTAAAAAATTAAAACACATTAACCCAATGCGCTATATAAGTAGCCTGGTTCCGTTTTTATGTAGTCGCAGGAATGCCGCTTTGATATAATCACTGAAAACATTCTGCATTCTATACCTGTAGAGGATTCAGCATTCTTCCGACTCCCAAGGGATCTGGAGGTCCCCTTATCGGTTCCATCGGAGAGAGATTATCAGACTCCACTGAATCCAGAGACGGGGGTCTGCTGTTTCTTTTCCCAGGCGAACGCTTGCAGGCATTGCTACGGTCTGAAATTTGAAAACAATCAATCATTCGTTTGAAGTTTAGTTTTGCACAGTTTTTAAAACACAACGAAAGCTGT